GAAAATAAACAAAATATATATAAATAAAATTTAAATAAGAATATAGAAAAAAATAGCTAAATTAGAAAATTAATCTTTAATTAATTTTATATAAAAAATATTTCATAAAATAATAATAATATTAATCATATATAATCTATAAATAAGAATATAATATAGAATAATATTAAAGAAGAAAAAATAGATAAATTATTACAAAAAAAAAATATTGAAAAACAATAATAATAATAATAATAATAATAATAATAATAATAATAATAATAAAATTAAGAATTATATTATTACAGTAATTAAAAAATCTAAAATGATTATAATAATGAAAATTATAATTAAGAATATTTTTGCTAATAATAAGAATAATAAAATTTAATATAGTAAAATGATCTTTTAAATTTAGAAAATACTTAAATATAAATAAATTAAACTGAATAAATAGAAAATAATAAAACGAAAAATAGTTTTAAATAATAATAAAACATTAATATTTAAAGTATATAACAAATACAAAATTGATAATAAAAGTTTAATTGATTAGAAATAATAATAATAAATTATTACATAATTGCTTTTTTTTATTTTAATATATTTTTATTTCTCCTATATATTATAATTAATTTTAATATTTATTTGTTAGGATATAATATAATATATTATTTTATTTTATTTTTATTCTAATTTTTTATTTTATTTTATTTTAATATAATATAATCTAATTATATATTTATTTATAATTAATAAATTACATAAAATTTTTCTAATAAAATTTTATAAAAAAACTAAATATTTAGAATAGAGTTACCAAATTATAAAAATTTAATTCATAATTTCAATTTTTTAAAAAAATTAAATTAAACTTATAAAATTTTAATTTTATTCTAAAATATATAATAGTATTAAAATTAAATACTAAAGAATAATTAATTATTAAACATTATTATTAGAACTCTCAGATATATAAAATCCTATAAAAATCCTAAATAATTGAATTAGTCAACTTAATTATAATGGATAGCCTTAGAAAACTTAGATTTTTAAGAAAAAATATATAATCAAAGAAATTCTATATTGTAAAATAATTATAATAAAATTACTACGAATCAATAAAATATAAAATATTTTTGTTAATTTGATAAGATAGCTTAAAGTATATATTATTTTTCTTTATAAATTATAGTAATTAATTATTTTAGAAAATATATATTTTAAGGTAAATATATATATTTTTTTTTTTAAAAAAAAAAAAAAAATTAAAAAACAAAATAATATTTATTTATTTTATTTTGAAAAAATTATAAAAATTAAAAGATAATTTAACTTTTATAAGTATTTGATTCTATATAAAATCAATAAAAAAATATCATTGAGAATATGTTATTTAAAATATTTTTATTATTATATTTATTATAAATAAATAATTGATTTATTATATTAAAATAACTTGTTTATTTTTTAATAAAATACTATTGATTTTTTTATTTTTAAAAAATAAAAAAGGTTATAAATCCGACTTTTTTTGCCATAAAATTAAATTAAACAAAAACTATTATTTGAGTTAAAAATAAAATGATAATTTAATTTTAAAATTATCGAAAATTTTGATATTCTTTTTATTATAATTTATAATTTTTTTTTTATAGAAAATAATATACTTTTTATATTTAATTATAACATATATTAATTAAATATCATTATTTTTTAAGTTTTTATAAGATAAATGTTATTATCAATTTAAAATTTTTATATATTTAATAGTTAAATTTAATTAAATATTTAATTCTTTTTTTTTTTAAAAAAAAAAATATATTATTTTAAGCTCTGTAAAAACTTTAGTATTTTTAAATAATCAAATTTTTATTTACTAATAAAGAACTCATATTATTTATATAAAAATTATTTTATATTTATATTATATATACAATAATTCTATATTATATTTGAAATATTTTTATTTTTTAACAAAGGAGTTAGTAATATAATAGGTTATGGATAAAATTAAATAAATAATATGTAAATAATAAAAAACCTATTCCAAAATATTATTCAAGTTTTACATATGTAAAAACACATAAAAAATAGGAAATTTTAGGTATATTAAAACAATAGATTAGAAAATTATAATAACTAAATTTAATATATATTTATTTTATTTATTACATTCGTTCTTAGTTTTTTTAAAAAATTAATAAATAATCAAAATATTTAATAGAATTAAGAGAATAAATATAATTATAAAATAATTTATCCTTATTTAAAAAATGAAATATAAAATAAAATATAAATTTAATATATTTTAAATTAAAAACTTAAAAAAATAAAATTAAATAAATGTTTATTAAAATCACTCCACAATTGTATAAATTATTTTCAATTTTACTAATACTATTATTTTTATTTTTATTTCTTTTGATATTTTATTCCTATATTTATGATATATGTATGATTTATTACTTAAGATACAATAAAAGTTAATCTGTAGCAATATTAATGATATCAATTGGACTTTTCATTGGCTATAATATAATATTAAATTATTTAATGATATAGTTAGTAAATCCAGGTTATACAAACCTTTAATAAATTGATATAGAATAAAAAAATGTAAAAAAAATAAATAATAAGATTATATATTGATATAGAAAAAAATATAAATAAGTAAAAAATTTGTAAAAAATGCTAAAACATAAAACCTTTAAGAACTCATCACTGTTATTATTGTAAAACATGTATTTATAAATATGATCATCATTGTCCTTGGGTTAATTAATGTATTGGATATGAAAATCATAGATATTTTTTGTCCTTTATTTTATATTTATTTATTGGAAATTTCATTGTATTATTTTTTCATATCTTTATTTGGTTAAATAAAGACTTTTAGGAATATTTAATAGTAAAAACTTAAGTTTTTGATGTAGTTTAAATTATTAGCATTGTACTTAGCATAGTTATGGGATTTTTTAATGCTTGGAATTGGAATTTGTTTATTTAAGGAGTTACAACTTTTGAATATATAAAGGGAAAAAGAAATATAGAATTGAACTTTAAATAGAACTTAAAATTAGTTTTTGGAACAGAGAACTTTTTTATCGTTTTTTTACCGAATTTTATTAATTTAAATGAGTTTGGTATATATTAATTATATATAACTTTTTATATTTATTTATTTATTATTAATGTATATTTTTTCTTTTTTTTAATAGTTGTATAATATAATTAATAAGAAGAAAAATAATCACTTAAAAATTAGTTTTAGAAAATCTAGGATAATAATGAAGAGAATATAAAAATAGAAAATTAAAATAATATGGATTTTATAGATGAAATTAATATTATATGATTCTCCATTAATATAAAAATAAAAATATTATATATTTAATATATTTTTTTGTAATATAATATATAACAATTTAATCTTTTTTAATAATAATTTAAATATAAATAATTTTAATTGTTTATAAAATATTTTCTTCAATTAGAAGTTTAATATTTATTTCAATATTATAATTAATTTATAGTATTAATGTTATATCTTTATTTTTTTAAAAATATACATTTATTATAATACTTTTATAAAAATATTTATAATGTAAAAAATATATTTTAATAAATATAAATGTCATTAATGAATAATTAGTTTATATTTATTAAATATAATATTTATTTTGAATTTTCCTTTATATAAATTAATAAAAAAATCCAAAAAATATTTTTCTTTGATTATTTTTTTTTTGGCTTTTTTTTTTTTGTATTTTGTTGTTTTTGGCGCTAATTATAATATTTAAAAAAAATTTTGAGGGAATTTTTAATTAAAAAAAAAAAAGGCAAGTTAAGGATTTCGAAGGAATAATAAATTTTATATATCAATTTTTTTTTAAAAAAAAAAATACTTAGAAAATATTAAAATTTTATATGTAATTTATAAGCAATAAATATTATTATTATCAAATATAAAAAACACTAATAAAATAAAAAATAATAAGATAAAATATTATAATTCAAAAATAAAACAATAAAATATAATTTATTATGAATTTTTAAATAATTCCTGAGTATAATTAAACACCAAAAAGTATATAAATTATTCCCCAAAATATGTAAAATATTCAAGATATATAAAAAAAAAAAAATTAATAGAAAATGTAATTTCTTTTAATTTATTTCTGTAAAAATACAACTATTAAAAAGGCTATTGAAAATGAAAATTTAATTTTTTAAAATAAAGGCTTATAAATAAATTAAAGTCAAATGTAATATAAAATAATAAATTTTTCATTTTTTTTAAAAAATTATTCTTATATATATTTTTTTTTTGTTAATTAAAATAATTAAATAATTTTATTTAAAATATATATATATATATATATAAAAAATTATTAATTTAATTATTTATAATATAAATTTTAATATTATTATAATTATAATAAAAATTATATATAGTGAGCTATTTCCAAAAAAATGTGAAATAAATAAAAATATCCACAAATTAACATTTGATTTTTCTGAAAATGACAAAAAAAATCCAAAAAAGCGAATGACAATGATACTTTAACATAAAAATTCTTTAAAGATATAAGATTAAGTTATTAAATAATAAAAAAAGTTTTAAAAAGGAAAATTGTTAATCTAAATTTGTGAAACAGATGAGAGTTTTCCTTAATTATTTAATGAAGAATTTTTAGAATATAATAATTAACAGTTCTAAAAAAAACAGAGATTTTAAAAATAAAAAAGAAGAATTTTGCATTTAAATTAAATAAATAGTATTTCGTTAGGAAAAGATAATAAATTGTATAATTTATTAGATGACAATGTTTAAAATGACTATGATGAAGGCAAGTTTTTATCCTATAATGGTATTATAGAATATGAAAAAAATTTAAGGCCCTTATAATAATAAAAAAGAAAGTTATATGTAATTGTAAAAAAAGTAAATGTTTAAAATTATATTGCGACTGCTTTAATTAATAGGAATTTTGTTCAAATAAATGTAATTGTAGTGGATGTTTTAATAATTCTAAAAAAAAGATGAAAGAGATATGACTATTTAAAAATTAAAAATAAGGAACCCAGACGCATTTAAATCTTAAATACAAACAAAAAAGGTTTAAAATTTATATAAAATATTATTATATATATATTTATATATAAAAATATATTATATTATAAATAATATATATATATATATATAATTATTTATAAATAATAATATATACATATATATTTATATATACAAATATATTTCTTTTTTAATATTATAATTAAAGGATAATGATTAAATTTATTTACATAATAAAGGTTGTAATTGTAAAAAATCTAACTGTAAAAAAAAATACTGTGAATGTTATAGTACAGGTATTAAATGTAATGAATATTGTAGATGTGAATCTTGTTTGAATAAGGAAATATAATTTTATTTAGATTAATAATTAGAAAAAAGAAACGAAAGATTATAAGAAAATAAAAATTTTGCATTAAGTGATTTTAATTTAAATTAATAGATTTAATTTCAGTCTTATAATTTCGAATGTAGTCAAGGATTTTCTCAAAAATATGATTTAAATAATAATAAAAATAGTATGGGTTTTATCAGTTGTACAGATGATAAAGATGGAGATTAGAAAATCAATTTTATGAGTAATAATTTTTGTTCAAGAAATTATTCAAAGTTTGAATATTATTATAAAAATAATAATTAATTTGAAAATGATTAAATTTCAAATTTTTAGTAATGATAAAAAGTTTAATGAATATAAAATGAAAAAATTAAAAATATTAGGTTAAAGTAAAAAATATAGTATTCTTAGAAAATTTATTTTAACAAATATTAGAAAAAATAGTTTTATAAAAGTTAAAAAGTATTAAAATATTTAATTATAAAAAAATATATATATATATATATATATATATTTACTTATATAAATATTAATATATATTTATTATTACTTCTATAGTTTATAGATTTTTATTTAAATAATATTTTATCAATTTTTATATTTTAATATATATTTTAATATAAAAAATAAATGTAAAATATTTATATAATATTTTTATTTTTACATTAATATTTTAATATTTATTTAAAATATACATTAATTAATCATTCAAATTTTTAAAAAGTTTATTTTTATTATTTATTCATTATATATTTAATTAACATATTTTTATATTTTAAAATAATATTTATTATCTTTTATTTATTTAATATTTTAAATTTTTAAATATAAAAACTTCATAATTGTTTTAGGTAATAATAGAAATCTATTTTTTTTTTGGACTTTAGTAGATTTTTATCCTTTAAATATTAATTTATATATATTTTTTTAATTTGAATAAAAAATAAGTTTAAATTCTGATAATTATATTTTTAGTTTTTTATAATAAATTATTTATAAAAATATATTATAATATAGTTTATCATTATATTTATCAAAAAATAAATAAAAAACAAATCAATTAATATATTAAACATATTTCCAATATATAAAAATTAGTTATTTTATAAGTTTTCTTCATTTACACTGTTATATTTATTATTATTTTATTATAACTTTTTATAATTTAATTCATAATATTGCAAATGAAATTTATTGAATCTTACTTTCTTAAAAAGAAGATTCTATAGCATTTTAAAATTTAATTTTAAATACTTTATTCATAATTTTTATATTTATGAATTAACTTCCGACTCTGTTGCATATAGGTCAAAAGCTTTTTTTAAAAAATTTATGAAATTCTAAGTTTTTTTTCAAATAAGGTTTCGTCGAAAGGGAGTGTCTTTCAGGTTTTTAAAAGGGAATTTTACTAGTTGCCATAATGTATATTGAATTTGATAAAATAAATAGTTTAATAACCTCAATTATATATTTTATTATAGATAAGCTAGAATAAGGTTAGGTGGGCTTATAATATGGTTCATACGGTAATATATTTGAAGCTTTTTTACAAGATTTTGGTCTTGGTTTTACCCTTTTATTCTTGGAATTAGGCTTATTAGGAATTTACAGCTTTAGAGCTTGTGTATTTGGGTATATGAAGTGTTTTAAAGGGCATTAATGAGTACTATTTTTCGCTCTATGTATTATATTATTTTAAACTAAAACATTATTTGATATTTTTAAATTAAAAAAAAATAATCATCAATTATTTATCATGATTTAAAAGTAGAAAATAGATAAATATAGCAAATGATATTTTAATTCAAGTTAAGGACTTATAATTTGAAATAAGAAGGGTTTTATCAGAAATATTTTTCAAAAACTATTAGTCTAATAAAAGATCGAAAGAAATAGTATTTTGCTTTTTAATGTTTTTTGGAATTAGGGATTGTATAGGGGGAGGGGGGATTTTAGGTGGGTTTATAGGAGTTTATAAAAGAGTTTTTTTTTAATATTATGAATATTTATATATTTTTTATATATTATATACACATTATTATTATTTTTTATATATTTTTATATTAGAATGATAATGTTATCTATAATATTAAAATTTTTGTATTATGATTATATTTTATTTTTTCATTTATATTACTTTATATTTAATATAGTTTAATTTTCAATATTGTCTTTTAAAATATATAGACGATTTTCTTAAAAAGATTAGTTTGTAAAACTTTGATTTATGTTTTTTTTTTATTATTTATTTATGATATATTAAGTACATTATTAAGAAATATTTAGATAAGAATTAATAAATTTACTATTTTCTTCTTATTATTTTTATTTATCTTTAGTCATAAAAAGTTATTAGTTTTTAATTTAATTAATTTTATTTTAGATAACTTTTGAGTTTTATAGAAATGACATTTATTAATTAATTTTTATGAATTCATTTTAATTATTATCTTACTTATATTAATTTAAAATTAATTTACTTTTTTTAATTTTCCTTTTGTTATTTTTAACTGCAACACTTTAATTAATTAAATAATAATTTTTATTAATAACACTATTATTTATTTTTTTATAAAATAAAGATTAATGTTTACTATTTTAATAACAATCAAATAAAATAAAAGATGAACTTTAAGGCCTATTTTCATATTTCGTATTTTTAAGTAAAGAAGGTGTATATGACTTTTTTATATTATTTTTTATTTAAAAAAAACTATTTGATAAAATATTATTATTATTATTTATTATTTTTTATTAATCATTTTTCTTTAATTCTATTTTATTTTTATTTTCATCATTATTGTTTTAATTTTAAATGGATAAACTTTTCTGTATTCTAAAAAAAATCTCTTATTTTTTTCTAAATCGACTCTCTCTTATTTCACATTGGAAATTAATTTGCTTCTTAATATTTTCAATAACCTAATTATCTAAATAAAACTAAATATCCTCACTTTCTAAAGGAATTATCAACAATTAAACTTCAAAACTACTCACTTATACCGAATTTTGTCTTTATTCGTTTAAAATAAGCTCATCAAATCCAAAAATCTAGCCTTAATTTATCAAACATAACTCATATTAGGTAATTTTCGGTTTATTTTTGGCCTACAATTCTTATTTTTGTTCATTAAAAATATGAAGTGACTTCAATATTTTGACTTCTCCCTATATAATGAAATAAACTCCTTTAGAAAGATCATCTTATTAGTATATAAAAGAGCCTTTTTTCATATTTAGGATTCTGGATATTTTAGCTAAATTTTTAATTTGATTATTTGAACAATTGTTAAAGGTCTACATTTATTTGATAAAATCTATGTTTTTTTTAATTTAAAAATCAGTTTAATTAATTCCTTAAATTAAGTCTTTAAAATTTTATAAATCGAAAATCAAAAATATACACAAATTGGCTGAAGTTTATATTTTTTGCAATTAAAAATTGCCATTTTATGTGTGGAATTTATTTTTATGACCAAAAAATGAAACTGCATTTACAGTTTTTAATTTTTAAGTATTATTATGAAGATATTTTCTTTTAAAAAATTCGTTATTATGAAAAGAGGAACTTTTAAGTCTTTGATCTTAATTTATTTCAGAAGTTAAAAATTCGAGTTAATCATTTAAAAAACAATTTTTTTTTATATATAAAGGCTTTTTTTATATTAATGTTTATTTATTTAAAAAAATATCACTGTCTCCAGAAAAAATACTCAAATTATCTTAATTTTGATTTTCATAAGAATTACACTAAGAAAAACTGTCTTATGAATTAATTAAATCATTTTTCAAAAAATAAGACTAAAAAGAACGTTTTTTTTTAGTTTTTATACCATAAAGAGTAACTTGACCTTTTAATATAATATAAAAATTTTATAAAGCTAATATATTTATTTCTTAGTTTGTTTGCTTTAAATATTAAATTTTCCCTTTTTTAAAAAACTCAAGAAGAGGTTTATAACCTTTTATCGTATAAATTTAATTAAAAATTCGAAGTTTTTTTAATATATTCAAGCAGTTTATAATTATTTAATTTTATTTATTTATTTAAGAAAAACACTATATTAAATATTCGATTTCTTCATTATTAATTTTATTTTCCATAAAAATATATAAAGTATAAATATATATATATATATATATTAATATTTATATAATTTATAATTTTAAATATTTATTTTTATATGGGTTGTATATAGGTGAAATCAGGTGTAGATTTACCTTAATTTTATTAATCAATTCATGGAATTCCATATTAAAATTTTTCTGGAAAAGAAATTATTTAAACTTCTACTATTTTAGCAGGTATTACAAGTAAAAATGAACCAAAAATATTTATGTTCGATACTATTACTTAGAAATTTAAAGATTTACCTATACCAAAAGGCTTTCAAATATGGAATTATTCTTCCTTAGTTTATCTTTCTTCTCAAGAAATATTTATCACAGGCGGTTTGAGTGCTAATATGGATTATATTACTAAATAAGCTTATATTTATGATAGTATAAATGTGAAAGTAATCAGAATGCCGGACATGTTAGATTCCAGGTATACGCATATGAGTATTTTTTTTAATGGCAAACTTTATGTAATTGGAGGAAGAGATTATGGGTAAAACGATAACACCGCAATAATGAATTAATGCGAAAGATTTAATTTTTTAACAAATAAATGGGAAAGAATTGCTCCTATGAAAATCTAAAGATGCACTGGATTTCTTTTCGTATATAAAGAGAGTATTTACGCATGTGGGGGATATACTGGTATGTAAAAAAGAAGTAGGAAAGTTGAAAAATATGACGAAATTTCGAATCAATGGACTATTGTTGATTTTAAATTGACTAAAGGGATTGAATAAGGCAGTATATTAGGTAATTAAAACAATTAGTTTTTTATTTTAGGAGGAAATACAGAAGAAGGGGGTTAATAAACATTTTATTAGTATTTTTTAGAAGATTAAACTGTTTTGGGAGGCTTCTTTTTAAATTAAAAGAGGGTTTTGGGAAAATGTGTTTAAAACTAAGATAAAATTTGGGTTTTTGGAGGTTGTTAAGAGGATGGAGTTGAAATTTGGGAAAAAAATAAAAATTATTGGAAAATTGATAATGGACTTTCTTTTATTTAATTTTGCTTGCCGGAAGATAGTGATAAATTTGGATAAGCTGTTTGTGGTGTTTTTTTAAGCGGTATTTAAAATAATTTAGGGAAAATAGATAATTAAGAAAGCGAAGAAAATTTATAAAAAATAAATGAAAGTTTATTAATCAATATAAAAATAAATGATGATTATGATTAAAATATAAATTATGAAAAAGTAATCTAAAGTAGTGATAAAATATATTAAAATAATGGAAAAGTTAATTTAAATTATTAATAAATAAATCAAAAACTTGAAAATAATTAATATATAAATGTAAATAATTAAGATACAAATATAAAATCAAATTAAATAAATGAAAAAATATTAAATACAGATAAAATAATATAGAATATAGAAGAAAATAATTAAGATTAAGTAGAATATTTATATGGGATTTTATTAGGAAATGATTTAGAACCTTTTTATATGTTATTTAATAGTTTTTCTCTTAACATTTAACTAACAGAAAAAAGACCAATAAGTATTACTGTGAGGCTTTTTTAATAATAAGGAGTTATTTTTTTAAATAAAAATAAAGTTTTGTTAATGGGAGGTTTTGTAGAAAATTATAGAAAAACAGTTAAATATTTATATGAATTTAACCCTATAGAAAACACTGGTAAAAGACTTTAAAACATGCTTATTCCTGTTTTTGGATTTTCATGTATTTTTTTTTAAAACTCAATTATTATAATAGGAGGTAAATAAGTTTAAAAAGGTAAAGAAAGTATCTATATATTAGAATGTTAGAGATATTTAATAGAAGAAAATAAATGGGAATTATGTGGAAAATTAAATTTTGGAAGGGAAAAATGTTAAAGTTTTATTTTTTAGGGAAAATTGATAGTTTTTGGAGGAAGAAAAGATGAGAATTAAATTGAGATTTTTTAGGAAGAATAAAATTTGTGGAAAAGCTTAAATTTATAATTGTCTTTTAGTTTGTATGATTTTTCGGTTTTTTTTTAGAAAAAAGAACAGATTTTGTATATTTTTGGAGGAAAATATAACTCACAAAATTCAAATAAGATATATAAAATTAATCTAGATTTAGATAATTAAAATCTGGAATTTTAATAAATAGGAATTATGAAAGAAAAAAGATGTAATCTTCATTTGTTTTGGCATTAAAATTTATAAAAAATCATAATTTTAGGAAAAGGAAAAACTGAAGTTTATAATATGGAATAATAAAATAAAGAAAATAATTAAGAATAAATTTACTTAGAGGGATTAAATAAGGCATTTTAGAGTTTAAACGATAAATCTTTAAGCCAATATAATTTTTGTTAACAAATTTTGATTTGAAATAAATATATAAATAAAATAACTAACTAATTTAATAAATGTTCTATAAAAGCAATAATATAATTTCATAAATATATATATTTTAAAATAAATTATAATTTTCTATTCATATATTTTATTTTGAAAAAAAATAAAAAAACCAATTTAAAATAAAAAATAGATTAAAAATACAATTTATTTATGAGATAAGATTTAAAAAAATATATAGAAAATATGTTTGTAAATATATATAAATATAAATATATATATATATATATATATATATATATATTCAATCATGCTCTCCAATATCCTGCCCATCTATGTATTATATCATTTATTATAGGGAATAGTGCACTAACACTTTCTTCTAATATATTTAAGAAATGCAACTCAACTTACTAATCATTCGAGTCTAAATTAAATTTATCTACAAGTTTTTCCAAAGCTTCAATATTTATATCTTTTATTCCTGAATCAATCATTAAATAGAACAAATTAACTATTAATTTTGCATATTTTCTCAAATATATATATGCATTTACGCATTTTTTTTTAAAATCTTAATATACTTTACTCTATACTCCTCCCATGCCTTCGACCATTTATTTACATAATTTTAAAGGAGGTGCATATGGCTTAGGATCTTGTCCTAAAATAAACCCAAAATCTATATGAAAAAATTTTCCTGTAAAATCAATCATTAGGTTTTCCAAATGTCTATCTCCGACTCCTAGGAAATATGTCATTACTGAATATCCTGCACAACTTAACATATAGTTTTCCATTATTTGTTATTATATTTATTTTTCCTATATTAGTTTTTGTATATATTCTTCCCCTTTGTCCCTAAAATTATCATATAAAGGATTTTTCGGATTCTAAATTAATTTTTCGAAATAATTAGATATATTCTTATCTTTACTTAAAACTTCCTATATGGTAGTAGAATTCGGAACGAATTACATAAATCCATCACTTTTAGAACACGCAAGTACTTTATAAGGCATTAATTTAAAATCTTAAGAAACTCCTTTTAATAAATTGTCCATTAAGTTAAATATTTACATTACTAATTAATCTTGACGTAAATCATCTCCATTTTTATAAATCATCTCTACTTCACATTTTTATTATGGATTGTCTTTAATTTTATATATATATTTATAAAGAAGTAAGTTATATTAAAATACCTACTGGATGGGTAAGAAAAGTCATTTTAATAGGCGCCATAGCACTTTTAAATACTGTGGATTTTTCATGTATACTTTCAACAAGAATTAATTTAGGGTTTAAACAAAAAGGATGCTTTTAGAATTGCGGGTGTTTAAATTTATCATCTTTTAATGTTTATTTTATAATTTCTATTTATGCTGGTCTCTCTTTTCCTTTTAAAGATTTGACCATTTTTTATAAATCTTCCCTAAAAGCAATTTAAGTTTGCAAAACTTCAAAATTTTAACTATTATTTTCTAAAAGGAACTCTTTTAAACACTATAAAACTTAATTATACCATTCAGAAACTATTTAATTAATATTACCCGAATTATCGCATTCTACAAATATATACCAATACAACAAAATTGAAATTTCAGTATTTTTACCAGCCTTTTCGATCAAAAATTATGCCAAATAACTTTTCTAATAATCAAATGGTTCATATCTTAAAGCTTGTACTAATTATAATAAAAAAGAACAAATAATATTATCATCACATTTTTCAAGATTTTCACACGCGTATTTTCTTATTAAAAGTACACTTTCATAAGGCTTTTTATATTTTTTATTATAATTATCATTTGCACAAAAAGAACATGATAATAAATGTAAGGCATCTCCAAAATCACATGGAGCCCATAATTTTAATAATTTTATAGCTTCTTTTTCTTCTTTCTCCTAACTCCAGTTTACTGAATGCAAAAACTTAACTAAAGCATCAGGATTATATTATAATGAATATCTATAAAAATAAAAAATAAATATACATAAATTTATAAAAATATATATTTTATTAATTGTCTATTTTTTTATTTATATACCTAAATCTATAAAAAAGTAGTTTTTCATCTTATTTTATTCACCTAATATAGGATTTTTTAAAGATTTTTCTATTATTGTTAATTATTCTCGTGTAGGAGTTAGTTATTACGGATTTTATCATCTCTTAATAATAATGCGAACTGTTCTTATATTAAATCATCTCTTTAAATTCATAATCGAAATCAGAAACTACAATACATTTAGAAATTAAGTTTCTTATATAAAATGTGGCTAATTAGATTAATATTCAAGGTCTTAGTAAGGTACTGGGCATTCGAAATTAGGGAATTATATTTCTAAAAATGCCGCAGGTATTTTTTATTAAATCTAAAATTTATTTAACTCCAATTATGGCTAAGCTAAATATTCATTCTTTTATGAATATGTTAATTAGTTAGTTTTTTATAGAAGCAAATTTATTTGTTTTAAATTTTTGTCAGTAACAAGTCCTGGTGTACACGACTAATAAGAAATATCAGGTAATGTATCCATCCATATATATAAATTACATTTATCCTATCTTAACCTGAATTTTTCGTCAAAAAAAGAAACAGTAGTACTACCTAAAGGTCTTAAGGGGTTTTTTGTTTTATGTGCAGACCATAAAGTTATTGCTAGTAATGAATTATATGTTAAATCTTTATATTTATATTTAAATATAAGATTTTGCCCTAAAAATAAACGGTTTGTAAACTAAGTTTGTTATATTGGGTATATTGGGGTATTATTCACTATTAATTAGCCGGTTATCATTACTTCTAGGTTTTCTTATTTACCTTTTTCTTCATTTTATTAGGAACTTTTTTTTTTTTTTAATTTTTTTAAATATTTTTTTACTGTAAAACTTTTTTTTCATCTAATATACTACATATAAATATTTTTATTTGGAGATTTTCTAATTATGAGTGAGGAATATATTCCTTTGTTTTATAAATATTCATTTGTTTTTATTTGTAAATGTAAAAAATATTTTAATTTGATTTTTTTTATTTTAATAAATTTATATAAAATAAACAAAAAAATTTATGAAAAAAATATTTTTATTTTTTATATATATCTAATAAAATTATTTTTATAGAAAGAAAAAAAAACTAAATATTTTTAACTTGTTTTTTAATAAACTTAATACTTTTTTTTAATAAAAAAATAAATCTTATTATAATTGATGAAAAAGTTTTATAAATAAAAAAATTAACAAAATTATATTTACTTAATTTAATATTAATTATTTAATTTCTTTTATAAAAAAAAAAAATTAAAAAAATAATTAAAATCAAATGAAATATTAAAATTTTTATTTTTTTATATAAAATGAATCATTATACATCATCATCTTCTTATAAATTTAATACTTAATCATTATCTATAGTTTATTTATTTTCATTCATTTCAATTTAAATATTAGGATTATGATTATTATCTATTTTACTATTATTGTGTCCTTTATCTTCTTTAATTAAATTAATATTACTATTTTTTTTTCCTTCGTTTTCTTATTTATCTTTGATTACAGGCATGCTCTACCTCAAATTGATTTCAGGATAAGTTCCTACACCTTATTATTTATTTTACTATATATTAATTTTATCACTTTCAAAAATCCCTTATTATTATTAATCTTATAACTATTCATAATTTTATATATTTAATGCTTTTTATTAATTTTTAAAATTAGTAAATTCAAGTAAAAGATTAGTTTTTCGCGCATATTTTCTTTTATATAAACGATAAATCGTAACTCCAATTAATAATAATAATGCTATACAACAAAAAAAAAAAACTGTGATATCTAATGCATTTTCACTATCAGCATATACCTAATATTTATATATTTATATATTTATATATATATTTATATATTTATTTATATTTTTTATATTTATATTTATTTTTTTATGTATATATATATATTTTTAATTTTTACGTTTTAAACACTTAGTGTAAGTTTTAATTTATCGATGCAATATTAATTAGAATTTGGTTATTTTTATGTTGGGCAATTTTTATTTGCTTATAAAAATAGATTATGGTCTCCTATGAGATTTTTAATTTTTGAATCAGTAGCATCACAAGTAAAATAAGGATCATCTTCTATAATTTTGACTACAAAAATATGCCTTCTTTAAAGTCCTGCAAAAAAATCTACTGATTTTCCTACAGTTTCATTATAAGCACCTTTAAAGAAAGCTCCTCCATTATAACCGAAAATATTAAAATATGCTTAATATGGTTATATATCTTAAATTACTTTCGAATTAATTGAATGCCAAACAATAGTATGTGTATTAGCTCCACATAAAATAGCATAATTTTCATTAATTAAAATATCTTATATATCATAACTGACTTCATGTTATCTATTAATAAAATATTCGTTATTTTAAAGATTAAATTCAATTTCCGTGGCTATAAAATTCCCGTATTATGATCCTACGACGATGAAAGTTTCTTATTTATACATATTGAATATTTACCCATTTTTTTATTCGATGAAAACTTTTTTGATTTAATAAATTTCAGAGGGCAAAACAATTTCATCTTAAAAAATTTGTTAAAATAAATAAATTCCTGAATTTTAATCTAATGCATATATATTCAAAAAAACAGTCTTTACTCCGCCAAGTAAAACTTAATAATCATAAAAATTTATATCTACGATATTAAATGATACATTTTCTTTAACTGAATTATAAAGCTTATTTAAACTCATTTTCTCAAATTAGTTATTGTCTTATAATATGTATGCACTAAATCCTCCAAATCCATGTGCTATATAGAACATTGTTACTTAAGAATAATTATATACAAGGACTTTTTTTAACTCTTTATCTTCCACATATCCGTCTATTTGTCTTTGAACTTTAGTATTTAAGTCATATACTAATAATTTTTATTAAAAAAATATGAAAATTCTTCCTTAAGTTTCTACTAAATAGGATTACTCTTCTAACTAAAAAAATAGTAAATATATATATACATATATATATATATATATGTATATATATTTATATAAATATATATATATACATATATATATATATATATACATATTATTATATATATTAATATGATTTTTTATTACTAATTTATAATCTTTATATAATTATTTTAAATTCATTCTTCCAAGAACTTAAATACCATAATAATCTTTGTTTGTACTATCATCTATCAAAAATAAATACAAATCTAAATTATTATCTAAACTCGCAATTCCTTTACTTTAGAATTTCTTACTCGGATTTATTGTTGTCCATCCAACTAACATTTTATTTTTAATATATATAAATTTAAGTATTTTTGTATATTAATTTATACTTGTCATAGGAATATCATTCATTATTAAGCCATTTTAGTCTAATTATGTGTCATATATGTTTAATTGTGTTACATTATCAAATTATATTTGCCTTTCTTGGACTTTACATAGTGGATTGTAGATTTCATCCACATCAGAAAACGCTTGTAGATGAAATGCGTCAAAACTGCCTGGAGGGGTTATTTTTAAATTCTAACCGACGTATATACTTTTTTTGATTATTTAAATATCGTCATTTTGATTTGCGTTTATATCGGGTTTTATTAGTTTAGATATATCTTCGTTAAATATTAATTTTATTAAGAAGATAAAGATATATAAGATATGCATTTATTATTTTTAATATTTTTTGTATTTATAAATATTTTTATATTAATAACAAAATAAAAGTAAATATTTAAAAAATAATTAAAATATAATTTTGTTTTTATATATTTTGAAAATATTTTAAAAAATATATTTTTTTTAAAACATTATTTTTTATAAATTGTAAAAATAAAAGTTAAATAATATAAAACATTGAATATATATTATTAATAATTATTTTAAACTTAAATTACATATTTAAATTATTATTATTTTTTACATGAATATACATATATGATAATACTTTTTTTTTATTATTTTAAATATTTTGCATTTTATATTATGTTTATATAAAATGCATTAATAATGTTATTGAAATATAATTTAATTAAAAAATAAAAGAAAAAATTAAAATAAACATTAGTATTAATATTTTTTTTATATTTAGATTAAATATTTATTAATAGAATTCATAATATAAATTTTTATGTTCTATAATCATTAAATTTTAGAATTTTATATTTAAATAAATAGAAATAGTTTATTTAAATTATAATTTTTTTAATAATATTTAGAAAAATAATTTATTATTTTATTTATAAAAATGTTAAAATATTTTACTTTATTCATTATATATGAACAGAATATTCATTTAAATTGTCTTTCTCTAGTAGAATTATTAATTATTTATTGTTTAAAACATATAAATATTAACAAATTAATAATTTAACCTTATAAAAAGATTTTAAATATATATATTTTCTTTAAAAAAAAAAAAAAAAAAAAAAAAAAAAAATAGAATATAATGTAAAATATAATTTATTTTCTGATATTAACTATAAGAATAATATATATATATTTATTAATTTATATATATAATCATTTATAAATTAAAAAATATTTATTTTAAAAGACACAAACTTTTTTAAAATTTAATTTTTTTTTTTTACAAATAAAATAAAAATCAATTTCTAAAAATAAAATACACATAAAGGGATGTTTATAACATTTCTATATTCAATATAAGTTGTAGTTATATTTTTATATAATTTTACAAGAAAATTATATATATTTATTTTATAAATTTTGATCTTAAGTTTGATTGGATAAAACTTAAAAAATTGGATTTTTTTTTTTTTACACAAAAAAAAAATAAAAAAAATATTTTATTAAAAAAAATACTCATATAACAAAAAAAAAAAAAAATTATTAATTAAAATATCTTTATAATTATAAAAAAAATAAAAAAAAACTAAAATATAAAATACCAAAAAAAAAATGGAATCGTCCTTATAATTTCCAGAACTATAATGTCCTGAACATAAAGTAAAAAAAAATACATAAATAAAATAATTTAAAAAAAAAAGTCTTAAATAATATTAGTTTCACCAGACTTTTAAGAAGGAAAAAGAAACTTTTTGTGTTCAAGATGTGTAGCCAGTTCTCACACTTCGATGAAAGAATTAGACAAATTAGTAGTCTATGATGATTTTGTATAACACTTAAATGAATAATCTGGATTAAAGTAATAAATAAACAATTATATAAATTTATAAAATATGCATGATAATATATATATATATATAAATAAATATATATATATATATTTATATATATTATATAATTAAAATTATAAAATTAATAAAATTATAATAATTTTTATTAATTTATTTTTTATATATTTTATAATTAGTTTAAGAAATTCAGAAGATGCTGAGAAACTATCTATATAAAGAAATGAAAATCTAAAAAACTTTAAAAATCATTTAAATAATTAAAATAAGCAAATAGTAAATTTTAAAATTAATTCTTTTATTTAAAAAAAAAAAGAGTGAATTAAACGACTAATTAAGAGCAAGTTATGAAGAAAAATGCAAAGAAATGGTAATTATATACATATATATATATATATTTTTTTATATTTTATCTTATATTAACTTATATATTAGGTTAAATAACTCTAATCTACCTTAGATATTGAATATTCAGTACTATAAAATCACTACGAAAAATTCTAGAATGAAATCTAAGCTGATAATGAAAAAGAAGCAAATATTCCTAAATTTAAAGATATAAGAGAATAAGTAAATAATGTAAAAGGCGACTTGACTTAGGTAGAGGAATATTTATCTAAAATTGTAAAATAAAAGGAATAATGGAACAAGGCATCTTAAGATTTACGTACATTAGGGTAAAGAACGTAACATTATTACAGAGAATAAATCCAAAACCATTTAAAAAATAAGCCTTCTTTTGTTGAAAAATAAAGAATTTTGGATATCTGGAATAATGGATTGAAAAACTTAATCGAAAAAGTTAAAATTAAAGCGATTGTTTTTAAGGATTACATTAACATGCAGAAGGTATAGTTTTGAATATTACTAATGTATAAGAGTTCGGATTACTAACTAATAATATGATTAAATAAGATACTTAATTAAAACTAATGTTTAATCATGAAAATAGTTTAAATAATTAAGATGCTACTACAATTAAAAATCATTTAGTTACTTTAACTAATTTAAAAAGTCTTCATTTGAATTTAGAATAATCATGTGTAAAATAAATAAAAATAAAAATAAAAATAAAAATAAAAATAATAAATAAAAATAAAAATAAAAATATGTATAATAAATATTAAAATATACATATATATATATATATATATATATATATATATATATAATATTTTATATTTTTATTTATAGGTTTCAATCTATGTATTAGATTAACTTTTTTCTGGTTTAAAAGATTTAGAAAACTTAACTGATTTACATATTAACTTACAAGGATGTAAGATTGGTGATTCATTTTCTGTATATTTAGGTCATGCATTAGGTCAATTGAAGAATTTACATATTCTTTATTTAAATCTTTCATTAAATAATCTCACAAAGAAATCTGTAGATAATATCTTCCATGATTTTGCTAACTTAAATCAACTATAACATCTTCATTTTGATGGTAGATATAACGATATTAACGATATTAATGCTTTGGTAAATAATTTGCACCTCTTGGAGAAAACCCTTACTCATTTAAGTGTTTATTTAGGAGGTTTTTCACATATTAGAAATAAAGTAAATGCTGATTCTTTGAAATTATTTGTTAAATAAATTCGTGTTTTAAGCAAATTACATGTTTTAAATTTAGATATGGGCTTTGTGGGTGTCGAAGATGATTTAGTTATCGAACTAGCGTGTGTTTTGAAGGTTTTAGAAGATTTAAGGGAATTAAAAGTGTAATTATATACTAATGATTTGGAAGGAAGAAGTTGTGCGAAAATAGTTAAAAGTTGTTAAAAATTACATAAGTTAACCAATTTGGAAATAAATTTCAATAATAATGAAAAAATAGGAATTTAGGGTATCAGGGATATTATTAGAAACCTTAAATATATGGAATAATTAACAGACTTGAGTATTTTTTTGAGAAATGTGGGTGCTAAAAGAGAAGAAGTACATAAAGAAAAAGAAGATTTGGAAAAAAATAAATGCGGAAATAAATTCTAGACTCTAAATTTATATTTGTGAGAAAAAAAAGAAAAAAAAAGGATTTTATATATTATGATTTTTTTTTTTTTCTCTTCTTTTTTTAATTAAGCATATTTATATATATTATATAAATATATATTTGTATGCAAAACTTTTTTTTTTTATTATTTATTTTTTTTATTATAAATTTTATTTATAAAAATATATATTTTTTTAAAATTTTATATATATATATTTATATATACATAAAATTTTATTATTTTACTTCATATATATATATATATATTATCATCTTAAATATGAACTTAAAATATAAAAAATATGAGCAATTATTCTAAAAATTATCATTAATGTAATTAGAAAAAAACTTCAAATAACAGAAAAAAATATTGTAAATCTGCTGATATTGAATTAACAAATACTTTTATATAAAAACATTCCAAAAAAAAATAATAGAATTTATAATATACAAAAACACAATTTAATTAAGATTTGAAAAAATAGCAGTCACAAAAAGATATGATCATTATTTAGAAAAAAAAATATAAAAAAAAGGATATAATAAGAAGAAAATCATGTATTTGTGATAGATGTGGAAGAGGATAAACTAAATATTAATAAAAATATGAAGATTTATTATTCGAAACTAATATGAATAGAAAATAAAGAAAGGTAGATGCGTTCTTGAGTACTGTTGTGAATAAATAAACGTGTTAATAAAATAGTTAACCTATTAAATAATAAACTAGTTTGGATGAGGATTTATAGTAATAATAATAATTATAGTAATATTAATAAATTTAATAATTAAATAATACAGCAAATATAATAATAACACATTATTAAAAAAGGAAAAGAATCCTTTAAAATAAAGAGTTGAATAAAATAAGAAAAAATGTAAAGGTATATTTTTAAATTTATATATATATATAATATAAATATTTATATATATATATTATATATATATATATATTATTTTAAAATAAATAATAGGAAATTAAAATTAGATTAATAATCCAAATCTTTAAATATTTACAAAAAATAATTAATAGAATTAAAAATTTAAATCTAAATGTTTTTTAAAATGGATATTATCTATATAATAATTACCATTTAAAAAAAAAAAAACCTATTTATGAAAGTAAACTTAGAAATTCTTCATGTGGTAACTATGGTTAGGTCGAGAAAATAATTCTAAGATCAAATCTAAATAATATTTTAAATAAATAAAATATTCAATATAAAAAAATAGGTAACATTTTTAAAGATTAAAGTAATGTTGTATTTCCTAAAATTAATTAATTTTTTAATATAAATACAATTAATTAAAAAAACAAAATAAACTAATAATTTTCTTTATAAAAAAATACATCTTATATAATAAAAAAATATGAAAGTCCATATTTATAAAAATGTTCTATTAAAAAATGAACTTATTTTAATTATTTTAATATATTATAATAAAAATATAGAAAATAATAAATAGTCATAATGTCATAATAAATTTTTTTTTTTATAAAAAAATAAATAAAAAATTCATAAAAAAATAAAAATAAAAAAAAAAATTATAAATTAAATATATATATATAAATATAAATTTAATATATAAAAATTAAAAAAAAATATGTTTTTGGTATTATTTAAAAAGTTAATTTTTTTGTTTTTTTTTTAATTTTATTCTTCAGAACTAAAAACCTAAGGTATTGTATTAAAGTTTAAATATTTATAGTTTTTGTTTCTAATTTTAAATATAATTTCTTAATTAATTTAAATCTGCTTATGTTTAATATTATCTATGTATATTTAAATCAAAGAAATCTGAATTATTAATAAAAAGACCTTATTCACAGATAATCATTACGTCTTAAATTTAAGCTATATGTCTTAATAATTCCAACTATCCTTACTGATTTTATTTAGGAAGAATTTCTTATTCTAATTAATTTACATGGGAATATACATGAATAAAAAAAACAGCATTAAATTAATCACTCTAATCTACCTCATCATTAATATAATCTTATAATTATTACATTAAAATAGGGACAAATTATTTTATATATCTTAAAGATAATTAAAAAAGAGATTTTAAAGATTTATAAATAACACGATTTTAAAAAATAAACTTTTATAGGAATTCATTGAATTAATTTGAATAGGTGAAGTTTTGCCAACTTTAAAGTTATTCGTCTACTTAAATTTTATTTTGTAATTATCTTTATAGATTTTCTCGAATAATATATAACTTTTTCACAATAAAAAAATTAATTACACACCATAAATTTTATTTTGCATTAAGAATCTATAAATTATATATAAAAAAAAAAAAATTATATAAAAAATAAAAATATTTATAATTATAAAGAAATATATTTATATATATTTATATATTTATATATTTATATATTTATATATTTATATATTTATATATTTAATTATTTATATATATAATTTTTTTCATTTAATTTTTTTTAATTATTATAATAAATATTAATTTTTATTTTTTTTATTAATTTATTTTACATCTTCTGCTTTACATACTACTTAAGCTAATATATTAAATTTTTTTAGTTCTGTTTGTAAAAAAGTTATATTTTCTTCAAATACTTATTCTTCTTGTGTTTGAAATATAAGCTATATTTCTTCTTCTTATTATAATTAACTATTTTTGTTTATTTATTAATCTTATTATTATTATTTTATGTTTTCTTCTATAATTTCTTTTTCAGCCTGTATTATTTATTTTTTTATTTCCATCATGGAGTTTTAAATTATTTGCTTTTCTATTTATGATTAAATTGGAATATCTTCAAGTTTAGGATTATTTTATATTAAAAATTTTTGTCTTTTTTTCTTTTTTGTATTATAAATACTGATTATTAATTTTAGTTTTAATTATGTAAATTTTAGTTATTAATAAGGTTAAAATCATCTTCTTAATAAAAAGATAGTATCAAATTATTGTTATTATTGTTTTAAATAGTAATATTTTATAATAATTATATATTATTATTATTAGTAACGTTTTAAAATTATAATTGTTATTATTATTGTATATTTTATAATTATTATAATTATTATTATTATTATTATTATTATTATTATTATTATTATTATTATTATTATTATTATTATTATTATTGAACTTATTATAAATTTTATTTTTAATTTTAGCTTTATTATAATTTTATTGATTATAGCATATTTTATTATTATTAATTTAAAATATTACTATATTTTTTATTTATTGTTTAATTATCTTATTAAATATTTGTATTTAAATGGTTATTTTATTAGTTATTTTATAAAAGTAATTGATTTTGATTTTACTAATTTTAAATTTAAATATTTTGATTTTATTATAAATTTGTATAATTATTTTATGATACATTCATATTATTATTCATTTATTTTTTTAAATCTTCCATTTTTTAATTTAGTTTTTAAAAGCTTGGTTATTAAATTTTTTATGCAGTATTTTCAATAAAGCTATTATATTTTTCGGAATCAAAATTTAACACTTAACTTTATTATCCTTAATATCTTAATGATTAAAATAACCTTTAATTAGAAATATCATTTAAATATGGATTTATTAATTGTTCTAATTACTAATTCCATTCTTCTTTTTATGAATACATATTTAAAATAGTTACTATAGGCTCAATATTTAATATTTAATTCCATGGAATTCTCATTTCAGGGTTTATACATAACATTTAATTTAATAATACTTATGTTTTATTAGATATTTAATTAAATTTAATTGGAATATCCAATTTTCTACCCTATTAAATATGCAAAAGGCTTCCATTATATGGCTATTATCCGAATAAAAGTTAAAATAAAATAACTCCTAAACTCCATGTATCAGATTTACTTTAAGTATAGAATTTTTTATTTTTAAAAGTTTCAGGAGCTTCACTTATTATGTAATTTATTTTAGAATCTTGTTTTAAATAAAATTATTTATATATTCCTAAATCATCAATTATTATATTTCCATCTTCACCGCGCATTAAATTAGATAATTTTATATCTCGTGGTTATATCTAAAATTTTATTTAAATAGATATATTTAATTTAAGTTTTTGTTTATATTTTTATATATTTTACATTTTTTAATTAGTTATATTATGAATAACCAATATATGCTTAAATCATTATTTATATTGCTGTATTTTCTTCTATTATATTATTTAATTACTTTTAGTATTATTGTATATGTTCATAATTTTATTCATTTTTAAAAATTATACAGAATTTTTCTTTTTCTGATTTAGTTTCGATTATATTTAAAATATTTTTGCTTGATTTTAAAAGTTTCAAATATTCGATTTCTTCTTTTATTTTAGTATTTAATGGTGAAAATTCACCTAATGAATATTTGTTGAATATTTTTATAAATACTTTTTATAAAGAATTTTTTTCTATTGCACTGTAATTTTCATATAATTGTTGAAAGTCATTCAGCTTATTTTATAATATATATTATTTTTTTGTGGACATTTTTTATTTTATTAAAAAAAAAAAATTTTTATTTATTTTTATTTTAATGACATATTATAATAAATATAATATTTATATTAAAAATAATAATATAATTTTATTTTTATATTAAATTATTTTTTATAATTAATAAATAAATAAATCTTATTGAAATAAAATAATATAAGTATATATAAATGATTATAAATTATAAATATTATATTTTAAATAAGTTAAAAAAATAAATTAAAAAGAAAAAAAGGTAAATCATATTGAAAAATAAGCTTAAATATGTAAATATTCTTTACTTATATATAATTAAAAATAAAAAATAAAAATAATTTATATTTATTTGAAAAAAATAAATAAATAAGAAAATATGAGTTTTAGTCATATATAAATAATTAAAATATAAAAATATAATAAAATAATTAATATAAAAATGAAATAATGAATAAAAATTATATAAATAATATAATAAAATAAATAGAAATTAAAATAATAAATAATATTTTTAAAAAAATATTATAAAATGATTTTTATATTAAATATAAATACAAAGAAATTTTTATAATCATATAATAAAATATATATATATATATATATATATATATTTATATATTTATATATAATTATTTATTAATATTAATGTATATAATTTTTATTATTAAATTAAATATTTTTTATTATTAGACATATATTTAGTTTTAATGTATATATTATTATATTATATAAATAAAAACATATCATAAAAATATAAATAAAAATAAAAAATATATTTACCTATACAAAATATATATAAAATATTTTTTTTTATTTATTAATTATATTTTATATTAATAAATTTATTTTATAATAATAATTTTAATTATTTTATATTATATAATTTAATTTTTCACAATATTGATAACTTCAATATAATTAAATTAATTTTAATTTATATATTTGTTTTAATAAGATTAATATTAATTATCATTTAAATATTTTATTAAAATCTTTAAATTTTAATAAAATATAAAAAAACATTTATTTTTAACTATATTAAATTTTTTTTTAAATGTCTTTAATGATATTCTAATTATGTAATTACATATATAATTTTTTTTAAATATATATTTTAATTTATTATATATTTAATCCTTAAATGAATTTTATAAATATATTTATATACTAGTTTATATATAAGATTTTTAAATTAAAAAATTAATTATTAAAATTTATTTTATTATTATTATTAAATTAATTTAAAAATTTCAATTAATATAAAAATAATTTTAATAAAAATTAATAATATTTAATATAAAAAAAATATAAAATACATTTTTTTTATTTAATAAAATTATATATATCATTTAATATCATCTTCTATAAAAGTAAAGAAAGCAACAACTGCTGTAATATCATCACAACCGAATTTTAAATAAGGCAAATCTCCAATTTTTGAAGAATTTTTTTTATTTTTATTCATTTCATCCCATCTATTTCTACATTCCTATACAATTGCTTCAGGTACTGATTCTTGACTTTCAGTTTATATATGTTAAGCCACAAATCCTACAACCTTTTAATTTGTAATTTTATATTTAAAATATAAATATTTTTACTTCAGCAGATTACATAACATCCCATACACCATCACTGCCAATAACAATAAATTTATCTTATTTTGTCAATTCTATATGTTGTATTTCTGGCTCACTTATAAGTCCTATTTTCTTAGCTTATAAATCTCCCAATGTACGCGTCATAGCAATACCTGGACCTTCATCATCTGCCCATACTCTATAAGGACCTACAGGGACTCCATCATGCATTAATTTTTCAATTTTACCGCCTGCTCTAATAACTAATTTAAAATAATTAATAAATATTTATATATAAATAGATATAAATAAATTACTTCTTTCTTTTTCTTCTGGACGTGTTGGTTTATGATCATAGGAAAGCTCTATCGCTAATTTTTCTTTATTTGTTGTTCTATAAAGAACTGCTCTAGAATCTCCTAGATTAGCTATATAGCACATATTTTTTTAAACAAAAACTGAAATGCAACATGTTCCGGAATTCGAATAATCTATACCAGAGGATTTAAGTTTACTTTCAGCACTTTTAAAGGCGGCTCTTAAAAAATTTTCTCGGCTTTTATCTGTGGTTAATTATTTAAATTTTTTTTGGTTTTTTTCTAAATATGTTTATATGTAATCGTTCGCGGCTTAACTGGCTTCTTTACCTGATGATCCATGACCGTCATAAACTGCGAAAAAATAACAGTCTTCGGCTAGTTTGTCGGTTATACAATATGAATCTTGGCATTCAGTTTTTTTAGGACCGTAACCGATTTTGGAATAACCGACTATTTTAACATCTTTTAAAGGGTTTATGTTATTTTTTACTTGGTTTTAAACTACTACTTTTTTCTTGCCTTTTTTCTTGGTTTTGTTCATGTTGTTTGAACCGAACATGTTCATTAAAAACATTTTTTTTAGGGAGTTTTTTGTATTATTTTTTTTTTTTTTTTTTTTTTAATATTTTTAATTTTTCTTTGTTTTTTTTGTTTTGTTTTGCTTTTTTGTTTTGTTTTTTTTTTTTGTTATTTGTTTATTTTTTTTAAAAAAAAATATATAAAAAAAAAAAATTGATATTATATTTAAACTTTTTTTAATTATATAATATAAAAACTATATTGTTTTTTTTTTTTTTTTTCAAATATTGAATTCTAATTTTTTTTTTTTTTTAATATTAAAATTTATATTTTTTATATTAATTTAATAATTATTAAATATAATAAATTTTAATAATTATAAATAATATGTATTTTTATTATTATATAGATTAAATATATATTTTATTATCAGAAAAATTATTAAAAGAGTATTTTTTTTTTTTGTAATTAAATTAATATATACTTTTATTTTAAAAATAAAATAAATATAATTTCAAAATAATTGTATTTTTATTAATAAATAAATTATAATTTGCTAAGTATTTTATATATGTTTTTTTTTATTATTTTTTTAATTTTTATAAAAAACAAAAAAACAAAAAGGAAAGAAATTATTTTTAGTTTTATCTTATATTTTTTTTAATAAAAGCTTATAATATTAAAAAGAAAGATTATAATAAAATAAATTTTAATTTAAATTTTTTTTATTAATTTTTATAACAAAAAAAAACTAAAAAATATCAACTTAACTTTTTTAAAATAAAAATAAAAAAATGGAACAAGAATAAATTTATTTAAAAAATTTACAAATGCATTTAAATGCGCATCATCATATTTCTATTGAGGATATTCCGAAATAGCAAAAACAATAATATACAAAATCTCCATAAAAATCATTCTCAAAGCATTATTTATGTACAAACAATGATACAAAAAATTTATTTAATCCAAAAGTTCAAATAAAAAAAAATTAAAATATTAAAATAAATAAATAGATAAATGAGTAATCATAAAATCTCAAAAGAACTTATAATGATTTAATAAAATGGCAATAAATAAAAAATTTTAAAAAAAATTAATAAAAATAAGAAATAGAAAATTAGAATTTTGAAAAAATATAATAAAAAATTTACACTAACGATGTTTCAAATTAATTAGTTGCCAAAAGTAGAGAAAATAAGAAAATAGAAGACAATTTAATCGAAAAAGGCAAACAAACGAAATAAAAAATAGAAAAAATGTCATAAGAAATATATTCGTTGTATGGGCATCCTAAGATAAATTAGTATAAAAATGAATAAACAACAACAAACGTATATAATAGGTAAAAATAAATAATAAAAAAATAAATATTTAATATATATATATATATAAATAAATAATTTTAAAACAAAAAAAGATTATATAATAATATAGGCATAAAAAAAATTCAAAAATAAAATGAAATAGAACAATAAAATAATTATTATTATTATTATTAATAATAATAATAATAATAATAATAATAATAATAATAATAATAATAATAATAATTTTAATAATAATTTTTAACATAAAAAAGTTTAAGCAAATCTAAAAAAAGTAAATATTCATTACAAAATGAACGCACTTTAAATTATAGTTTAACTACTCCGTAAATTCCTTCAATAAATTATATATAGTAAAATGAAAAATACCTATAAACTCTTAAATAAAATTTTTTATAGTCAAAAAATATATAAACATAAGAAAATAATTAATAATCTTTTAAAAAAAATCTTTAATAAAATTTATCTAATTAAACAAACTAATAAAATCATCATATACATCAAAATGATGATAAAAAAATAATTTTATTTGCAGAAACAAATACTAATATTTATAATAATACTAATAATTTATATTAAAATAATAATTCTTTAAGTGAATTTTACAATTCCGATACTTTAACGGGTAATTAAATGTCTTAAATAAAGGCTAGTCCTTAATTAATGTCAGTTTTTAGACCCTTAAATGTAAATTAATTAAGTTAAAGCATTAATAATGCGATTTCTTTTGTACCTCCTGATATATAATAGAATAAAATCAGTAATAATAGTATTTTAAATAATACTAATCCAGATAAAAATATATAATTTGAACTTAGAAATAATAATTTTAATTAATATACAAAAATGATTGATTTGGATTTAGCAAATGAATTGTAAAAAGAATAATATAATAGTTAAGAAAACAAAAAAAGAAAAAAAATTATTTAAGATTCTTAAGGTTAAAAAGCTATGGAATGGATAAGAACTAAAGAAAATAAGCTTAAAGAATAAAGATAAAAAATATAATATATGGAACTTTCCTAATGTACATTTAAACCAGAAATTAATAAATTTCATAAACAAAAGGTTTAAATTTCCCCTAGAAATTTTTAAAAATCAAAATAACAATTGTCTTATAAATAAATTAAATAAAAATACTTAATTTGATTGTTTTATTTTTATAAATACAAAAAATATATATTATTATATATATTTGATATTTTTTTAATATGGATTTTATTTTAAAATTTATATATTATATGTATTTATATTTAATATTTATAAAAAATAAAATAATAAAAAAAAAATATACAAAAAGAAAAAATATTTAAAAATTAAATTTTATAGTATAGACTATTTAATAATAATAATAAAAAAAAAAACTTCAATTAATAAATTAACTTTAAAATAAAAAAACTTAATCTATTAAAATAACTCGTTTAATTTATTTACTTGATTTTATAAATAATTAAATAAATTTTGAAAAATTCCCAATAATTATATTTTTATTCTTCTTCTTAGTCCTTCAATAATATTATTAACTTATTATTTAACATATATATATTTTACTAACTAGTATCCCCATTTGGTCGGATTTTCCTCTTTAAAATCGTTCGAAAAAGTCTTTTATTAAACTTTTAATAATAAAGACATCGAATTATAGTCTTTTTATGATATTAGGTCAGTCATTTCTCATCACCTGTATAATAAAATTCGGAAAATGAAATTGATTCATTTTTCTATTAAAATCAAAATTTTGGAAAATATATATAATAAAAAGTTCTGTTTATTCATTTTAGGGGAAAGCTCAGTTTTACTAATTTAGATAAACTATGAATCGCAGAACTATTTTGAAAGAATTAATTCCTTTATATCAATATTTTTACTTTAATCGTAATCAAATGAATGGAAAATAAACTCCTGCGAATATCAAAATCATCTATAAGTTAATATACCCGTTTATATTTCAGGATTATTCTATTTTCTAGAAATATGTCTTAGGTGTGTTTTTCTAATATTATATTAAATGTATAATTATATTAATTGAAATCATATTTTTTTGTTTGGATGTTGGATAGTAAAATTAAAGTATCTATATTGAAAATGGTATATTTAAGACATTTTTTAAGTTTTTATATTATAATGTTTTTATTTATAGTTAATTTTAATAAAAGTTACTTATTATAATTTTTTGTAATTTAATTTTTTTTTTATATATATATTTTAAGAAATTTTTAGTTTAGTTTTTTTTTTTTTAATTTATAAAACATATATATATTTATTATTAAATTTTTTTTTAATTTTTTCTTTCAAAATATATGAGTACTAAACTGATTTATAAGATTAATTATTTTTTATTATAAAAAAATAAAAAACTTAATATATAAACACACTAAAAATTTAAATTAAATAAAAAAATGGAATAATAAAAAGAATAATTAAAAGAAAACTTTTTCATCCTTTATTAACTTTAAAAAAGATAAAAATAAGAAAAAGAACAAAACTAAATAGAAGAAATACTCAAAAATCATATAAAAGAATAACCTATATTATATTTTGAAACACTTTTTGAAGAACTTTAATGTAGATAGATTGGATTTTCCTATTATTTAATAATATTTAATTTATTAGCTAAGGCAATATAAATGAAAGTAATTAAATAAAAAAATATTTCATATTTTTCTTATAAAACAAAAAAATATATAGGATTAAAATAATTAATATATATGGTTAAATATACCTAGAAATTTACGAGTGAATATATATAATTTTATAAAGGAAAAATTCTCACCTTAATAAGAAAGAAGCAAATATCTTAATGTAATTTTTTTTATTTTTTTTTAGAAAAATAAATAAAATAGGCCTTTTCTTCAATAATTGAAATAGAATTAAATGAAAACTACTATTAATCAAATCAAATTAGTTACTTATATGAAGATCTTAGTTAAACTAAATAAGATATTAACAATAAAATGAATAATATGTATATTTTGGGGAAGTTCTACTTTAATTTATATAGTTAAAAGCTAAAATTAAAAAAAAAATATAAAGTTTAAATACTATAATAGATTATATAAGGACTAGAATAAAAATAAGACTTGAAAATAAAATTATTTTGTTTAGAAATAATAGAGGAGATGGGTATTTTTATTTTCGAGGAAATTAAAAATCTGTAATTTTTGATTTAAATCATTAATCTAATAATGTAAAATTTAAAAATTTAATTAGAAAATTAAAATATCGAAAGTTTTTTGGTTTTAGAAAAGAGTTATGGGATTTTAATTTTGTTTATGAATTTTTTTATTCCTTATTTATAAATTTAATAAGTTTTCGAAAATACTAAAAATCATTTGGAAAGTAAAAATGAAGAAATATCATGTTTGTCAATTAAACTTTGGGAAAAAATTATAAATGAAAATTTCTAGATTTAAAAAAAAACACATAATTCTATTTTTTTAATTAAGGAATAAATTTTTACTATTCTTTTTAAAAATCTCGAAAAAAACTTCACTAATAATGATTTTTTAGAAAGTCAGATATAAATTTGCACCCAAAAAACGCTTACTATTCTTGTTGAATGCCTAGGAGAATGCGTAGTTCCATTTTTTTAATAATTTATAGAAAAATATAGTATATTATATGAATGGAATTATAAACAGGCTACTTTAATTGCTATAAATGCTGTTTTTGTAGGAATTTAGATAAAAAGTTCTATAAATGCTTATATTAAGAAATTATTGGATTTTATTTTTAGTTGCATTAATGATTAAAGTACTTAGGTTTAGTTTAGTGCGTATAAATTATTGGAATAAATAGGAAAAAATGAAATTTAATTATTGTTATAAAGGGAAGGTATTGAAAATGAGATTTGCTTTATGATTGAATTTTTTAAAAAAGGGTGTTTTTTAGTTTCAAGATAATTATGTATGTTTTTATTTTGTTTGGGAGATTATTTATAAAATTTTAATTATAATTAATATAATTCATGTGATATTGTGAAAATTTTTTTTTAGTTTTTATTAAGAAATGATATATAGGAAGATTAAAAACTTGTCGAAATTTGCTTTTTGATTATTTTTAGGTTTGTTGATTCTTTAATAGATAAATAAGAAATTTAGTTTTTTTTAAATTTGTTTATTAATTAATTTTAATAGGATTCTTTAATTAATAATTTAAATAAAAAGTTTATTTTAAAAGGAATTTTATCATAAATTTAAGTTAAAAATATTTTATATATTATATACATATTTATAATCAATATATATATAGATATGTTTGTATAAATTAGATGATTATTTTGATAAATAATAAGCTAATAAAATTTTAAATATGATCAATGTTTATTTTTAAAAATAAGGTATTGATTTTGAAGGATTGGAAGTAGTTTATGCTTTATTATCGTTGACAGATTAGTCTTTTAATGTTGATATTGATTAAGTTTGGGGATATATAAAAGGTATTGATATTAATAAATAATAAAACTTTGAAGCTTTTTCGAATGCAGTAAGAGTTTTAGGATGTCTTTCGAAAATTTAAGGGATTTAGTTCAAGGAAAAACTATATATTTTAGAAAATTTAATTGATTTTGGTTTAGATGAAGGGAAAAATAGATAATTAAAGTTTTGTATTTTCGAGTTTATTGGAGATGTATTTTTGGGTTGTAATTTATTTTGTAGAACTTATGTAAGGAAAGTGATTTTTTTGATAAATAAAAAATTTGAAGATATAAGTTAATTATTAAAAAGCGATTAAATAGAAGAATTGGAATATGCAAATAAATTAAAAATTAAAGTTTTAGATTGCTATAATTGTATTTTAAATTCTATTAATCCTTTTATTGATTAAAATTAAGAAAATATAAATCAAAAAATAATGTTTTTTAAATATGATATTGATAAAAATATATGTTACAAATAAAAAGTATAAGAAGATTTTTTGTTAGATTAAGATTTATTATAAAATATGCAAAACTTATATTATTTTATACTTATTACATGTAAAAAAATATTTGAACCAAGTAAGGTATTAATAATAATAAATAAATTAATTTATATATACAAATTTAATATTTTTAAATTTATATTTAATATTATTATTAAATATGTATTTTATTTAATTATAGGAATATATTTCTATATGTATTAAAATTATTTCAGATATGATTTAGATATATTAATAAAAGTGTGATAAATATATAAAATATGAAAAATTTTAGATAATTATTGCATTATTTTAATAAAATTGTTAAGATTAAGAATAAGTTAATAATTTATAATATTTAGAAAAAGTAATTAATTTTAAACTCATATTTAAAATATATATAGGTTTTTATAATATATATAGATTATAAAAAAGTATCTGATTTGAAATATTATTATTTTTAATAGTAGTTTTAAAAAATTATATATAAATAATTATTTTTTATAAAAGTAAAAAATATCATAATTGTTGCATTTTCTATACTATTAGTAAAATATTAAATAGTTAAATTATTTATTAATGTAAAGATATATATTATTAACATATAAAAAATTATTTTTGTAATTTTTATTTCTAGATATTACTATATTTATATATTTAAAATTTTATAAAAATATAATAATTATTGTTTCTTACAATTATATTTCTCTATTCATTAAATAAATAAACAAAAAAAAATTAAATAAGAAATTTTAATTTTATTAAATCTAAAATATTTGTTTATTTATACAAAATATAATTTTATTATATATTAAGGTATTTATTTTCTTTAATATTTTATTTCTATTTTATGTATAAAAATAATAAACAATTATAAATATAACATTATACCAAAATATATATATTTTATATTATTAAATATACACGTGATATATAAATAATTAAAATATTAAAAACAAATAAAAAAAATGAATTCTCCTTAAAATTTATAAAAAAACTTAATTAAAAACCAATAAAATGACGACACAAACTCATCAAAAAACAACAATAAAGATGACACATACATAATAAAGCGCATATCAATGAACACCCACTATTAAAAATACAAAGATCTAGTCCCCATAGTTCCTTAATCAAATGAAAATGCCACAATAACTTTTCCAGATGGCAAAACCTATAAAATCCCCATATTGAAAGGTACTTTAGGTCCTCCAGTTTTAGATATAAGAAATTTAGCTTAATAAACTGGTTATTTTACTTATGATCCTGGTTTTACTGCTACATCTTCTTGTGCTTCTTAAATTACTTATATAGACGGTGAAAAAGGTTAACTATTATACAGAGGATATAAAATAGAAGATTTAGCTGAAAACTGTTCTTTTATGGAAACTTGCTATTTGATGATATACGGATAACTACCGTGTAAGAAAGAAAAAGAGGCCTTTGAGGAACTTGTAGTATCCGAAATGGTTGTACATAAAAAGATTTAAGATTTCTATTAAGGATTTTAGGCCGATGCGCACCCTATGGCTATTATGTTAGGTGTAGTAGGTGCTTTAAGTGCATTTATGTATCAAGAATTCAATGTTAATGATAGTCGTGATCGTGAACATATAGCTATTAAAGTCATTGCAAAAATTCCTACGCTTGCAGCTTATGCTTTTAGGACTGCTTCGGGATTGCCTTTAATCTAACCTAAAAAAAAATATAATTATGTTTAGAATTTTCTCTATATGATGTTAGCGAATCCTATGGATGAAGAATTTTAAATCGATGAAGTTATTGTATAAGCTATTGATAAAATACTACTTTTACATGCAGATCATGAGTAAAATGCAAGTTCTTCAACTGTGAGGATTGCGGGTAGTTCTTAAGGTATTTTTTTATTTGTTTTTAAAAAATAAAATAATTTTTTTTGGAAATTTTTAATTAGCTAATCCATTCGCATGTATAGCTGCTGGTATTGCAAGTTTATGGGGACCAATGCATGGAGGAGCGAATGAGGCTGTACTTAATATGTTAGAGTAAATTGGAAATGTTGATAATATCGAAAAAATATTATAGATGTCAAAAGATAAGAGTTCAGGGTTTAGATTGATGGGTTTTGGGCATAGAGTGTATAAAAACTTTGATCCTAGAGCGAAAATTATGCAGAAAATGTGCTATAAAGTGCTCTAGGCAGTTGGTTAGGATACTATGCCTTTATTTGATCTAGCTTTAAAGTTAGAATAAGCAGCTTTGAATGACAAATATTTTTTGGATAGAAAACTTTATCCTAATGTAGATTTTTACACAGGATTAGTTTACAAAGCAATAGATATTCCAGTAAATATGTTCACTGTTATGTTTGTTATTGCAAGATCTATTGGATGGATTACTTAATGGTCGGAAATGATGGCAGAAGGATTAAATAAAATAGGAAGACCAAGATAAGTTTATGTAGGAGAAAAAATAAGAGAATTTGTAAAAATAGAAGATAGAAAAAAACAGAATTAGTCTAATATATTATAAATGCCTAAATTAGCAAAAGTTACGAATTTAATGAAATTGTGATTTTTTTTTTTATATCTTATCTAATTTTATTTTATTTAATTTATTCAATTTGATTTATTTAAATAAATTAAATAAAATTAAATTTGATTATATTTAAATTAATTGTATTTAATTTAATTTTTCATGATTTTAATTATTTAATTTAGATTTTTTTATATTTAATTTAATTTTAGATTTTAATTAATTTAAATTTATTTTATATTTAATTTATAAAAAATAAATATTTAAAATTTATCTTATTGAATTTATCATTTAAAAATTTTTTTGTTTGATTTATAAATATTTATTTAATATTTTAAATATTTATTTATTTCAAAATAATAAAATAAAAATAAATTATAATTAATTTAGATATAAATAAAAACGATATTTTATATAATTTTAAAATAAATTTTTATTTATAAATATATATAAATTATAAATATCTAGTAAATATAAAAATTTAAATTAATTAATATTTCTAAATATATATATTATAATTAAAAAAATTAATTTTTTTATATAATTTTATTTATTATATAAGTTTTTTAAATAAATTTTCTTATCAATATTATTTTCATTTTATAAATATAATATTTTTAAATAATTTATTTAAAAATTTAAAATCATATATACTTTCAAATTTTATTTTTATCGATTGCATATATAAATAAAATTAATATAAAAAAAAAAAATTAAAAAATATTTAATTTACTTTATTTTAATAATTAATAAAAAAATATTAAATTTATAATAACGAGAAAAATTTATAAGTATGTAATATATATAATATTTTATTTAGAAGTAGATTTTTAAAAACAAAGATGTCTTAATAATAAAATAAATCCAAAGTATTATATAAAAAATTTATATTGTAATATTTTTTATTTATTATATTTTAATAAAAATAAAAAAATGTTTCAATTTTTTTTTTTTTTAAAATAGTTATTTTTGAAATAAAATTATTTTAAATAATTATAAATATATATATATATATATATATATTTATATATATATTTATATTTAAATAATAAACTAAAAAATTATTAATGAAAAACAAATATTATTTTAAAAAAAAATTATATAATACTATAAAAGATATATGAAAATTTAAATCAATATAAATATAAAATATATTCATTTTCTTTAATAATTTTTAAATTTCAATTAATAAAATTATAATATATTTTTATTATTTATATAATATCATATTATAACAATATTTACTATATTTTTATTATTTTGTATTACTAATATATATTTTATATTACTAATGTATATTATTTTTTTTTTTTTTATAAATAAAAATTTAAATAAATATTAAATAATAAATAGAATAGTAATTTTTAAAATTATTTTTTATAGTCAATTTTTTTTAAAAAAATGTATATTTTTATGTTTAAATATATATATATATATATATTTATTATTTATTTAGTAATAATATTCATTTAAATATATATAAACCTTATTTTTATATAATATTTATATTAATATATAAATAATATAAATAATTATTTTTTAAATTTTGATATATATAAAATATTCAAATTGTATTATATTTAATATATAATGTTTTTATTCAATAATTATAAATTTCAACTATATATTATTAAAAATAAAGTAAGATTTTATTATATCTAAATATATAAATAAAAATAATTGTTTTTTAAATTTATTTTTATATTTTTCTTAATTTTAAATTCTCTAAATAGTAATTTTAACGTATTTTTAAACCATAATCTAATGAACTTTAATAAATTTGAATACATAATAAATATTTAAAAACAAACCATTGTTAAAATTGTGAAGCGTATATAACAAAATTTAATTTTTTTTTGATATAAAATAATAAATATTTTAATTTTGTTTATAAATGGTTATTAAAGAAGAATATTATATATCTTAGAATTATTAAATATTAGTTGTTTTTTTTTCTTTAAATGTTAAATAATGTAAAGAAATTGTTTAGTAATATTTTAGAAATATTTATAGAATTAATACTAAAAAGAATGTTATAATAAAAATAATTGTTTGCTATTTAAAAATATAAATTTGGTTATAAATAATAATATTAATTAAATAATTAAAAATAAAATAAAATTAATTAATAAAAATTTAACTTAATTAATTTTTGCAAGATATGACTTGAGTTGATTAAACGGAATTTAACTAAAAAATATTTAGATTATAATAGTCTACCATATGAATTTGTGAAATCTTAAATAAATAAATTATAAAGAAAATGAACAAAAATAATAGTAAATGATTTAAATAATTTATATTATTTATCAAAACATTAATAAGATTTAAATTTATTAATTAAAAATTTAATAATTAATAGTGCAAAATTTATTAGAAATCTTTAGATATTAATACATATAGAATAATATTTATTTAATAAAAAAATTAAATAAACCAAAAATGTCATTAATATTAATTAATTAGATTGTATAAATCAATATATAAAAAAATATAATTATAAAATTGAAAAACATTATTTTTGCAAAAATAAACATAATTAATATTTTTTTTAATTATAAATTGATATAAATATTAAATATTTTTAACAAAAAATATAAATATAAGTATTAATTAAAGAGTTTTTAATATTTTTATTTAAAAATAATAAAAACTACATTAACAGTTTATAGTATTTTTTTCTCATTTAACAGTAACGCATTTTGCTAAATTTCTAGGTTTATCAGGATTAGTATCTAATATTTTACAAACATAATAAGTAGTTAATTATAAAGGTAAAACAACTAATAAAGGAGTTAATAAATCTTTATGTTCTAATTAAATACTCATATCTACTTTTTCAGAAGGTAATTTATCTAAGCAATTAGTAATTACAATTGTATAAGCACCTCTACTATGTACCTCACTAAGTGCAAGTTTCATATCATGTAAATATTCATCATCAAGTATAATTAACAAAATAGTGGTCGATTTAGGATCTTAATAAAATAAATATAAATATATATATATATATATATATATATATATATATATATATATATGCATAAATATACTTTCAGAATCTATTAATGCTAAGGGACCATGTTTTAATTCGCCAGCAGAAAAAGCCTCAGCATGTATGTATGTTAATTCTTTTAATTTTAAAGCTCCTTCTTTGGCTATTGCAGAGCATGCACCCTAAAAATATATATAAAATTTATATACTATATATATATATATATATATATATATATATATATATATATATATATATATATTTATATTTATATTTATATTTATATTTATTTCAGTTATTATACTTTTCCTAATAAAATAATATTTTTTAAAGTAGCGATTTTATTTGCTGTTTATTGGCATTATTCTTATATTGAATATAGTATAATACCTACTGATGTAGGTAATGATCTTAATTAATCAATCATTTATTTTCTAAATCTTTCATTAGTAGTTATTCCTTTAGCATCTTCTTTAGATTTAGATACCCATAAAGCAATCATTAGTAATACTATGGTTTATGAAGTAAAAGATTTTGTAGCTGCAACTGCCACTTCTCTTCCACAGTTAACATAAACACCGCAATCAACTGATGTAGCGATCTAACTTCCTACGGAATTTACCACTCCTATTGCAAAAAGTCCTTTTTCTTTAGCTTAATCTAACGCAGATCGAATATCAGCTGTTTCTCCGCTTTAACTAATGCAAATGATGCCTCCTTATTCTTCTGGAATATCATAAATAGTAAATTCTGATCCTTCTACAACTGAAATAGAATTAAAGCATTTTAATTTTTTAAAATAATTTTATGCAAAAAGTCCAGCGTAAAAACTAGAACCACAAGCTAAAACTAACTAAAAAAAAAAATATAATTATATATATAAAAATCAATATGAATATATACATATAAAATCTAATATATATATTTATATACTATATTCTTAATTCCAGAAATATCTGTTTCAAATCTCTCTAAACCACCTAATTTTGGTTTATTTTATTAAGAAGCTAATCTGGAGCCATTTCCGAGTGTTTTTAAGAGAGCTTCAGGTTATTCGAAGATTTCTTATTCGAAAAATGCCTATATGGTTCTTTTGGTTTTAATTATATATCATTTTTTCTGTTATTTTTATTATTCTGTCTTTATTGTTTTTATAGAACTCGTTTATGTGTTTAAGTGATATTTCAATTACTTCACCATCATATACGTTTACGTAGTTTGATGTGTATTTCTCAAAAGCAATCTTTTCGCTGGCTACATAGATTGTATCGTTACTTAATCCAATTAATATAGGAGATCCGTTCCTCGCAACGATCATAGATTCAGGATTTAGATTATCCATTATCACTAAACCCCATTGACCGGATAGTTTTTAGGCTATAACAGTCTTTGTGGCTTCAAACGCACTACATTAAGGGTTCTATTTTAAATGTTAAGCTATTAATTATGCTATTAATTCGGAATCTGTATCAGAATTTAGCTTTATTCCATCTTATATTAATTAATCTCTTATTTCTAAAAAATTGTCTAAAGTACCATTATGACATAAAACTATTCTTTTATTTTAGTCAAAATGAGGATGGGAATTGTAGTCAGTTTTTCCACCACATGTAGCCCATCTTGTATGACCTATTCCAGCATAGCTATTTAGATGTTTAGTGGGACATATTTATTTTAATGCTTCTATACAGTCTATTTTTTTTAAAGTATCAGAAGATAACTTTGTTATGAGAAATTCGGTATCACCGTTACGTAAAGTAGCTATACCTGCAGAATCGTAACCACGATTTTATAATAATTCAATTCCTTCAAGTAGTACGACTTCAGCGTTTTATTTTTTAGAAAGAATACCTATTATTCCACACATTTGAGTTATTTTCAAATTAAATTAAAAATAATTAGTTTATTTATAATTAGGCTTCTATGAATATTTTTTTTTTTAAAAAAAATATATATATATATGAGTGATTTTGCAATATTTGTATTGTTGTGTTATTTAATTTACAAAATATAATTATAAATATTTTTATAAATACATAAATTAATAAAGAATAAATTTTTATAATAATACATATTTAATTAAATAAATAAAATATAATTATATTTTAATATTTTGATTAATATTATTTAAATAAAAAAATATCATTTTCTAAATAAATAATAAATTGTTTTATTTAAAATATAATTATTTTTAATAAATGATATATTATTATTTATAAATAATTATTTATTATATATTAAAATATATAAAATATATATTAATTTGAAATATAATAAATCTTTTTTTATAATAAATAAATTTAATATATTTATAATATTTTTTATCATTATTTAATATTTTATATTCTTTATACAAATATAAAAATAAATATAAATAAAAATGAAGATACATATAAATATGCTTATTTAAATATTAATATAAATAATTTTATATATTAATAAAATATTTTTATATATATCGATATAGATATATATATATTTATATATATAAATATTTATATATTTATATATTTATAAATTTTCTTATTATAACTTTTATTTTATATATATTTTTATATATATATATATACTTATATATTTTTATTTATTATAATAAAAAAAATATATTTCAAAGTATTAATTAAAAAAAAATGTCTGATAATTTCTTATAAAATTATTTATAAATCAAACGGAAATACTTGAATATAAAAAAGAATATAGAACTTAAATAATAAAAAGAATCCCAAAGAATAAGCATGGGACGTTTAGAAAATGAGATAAAATCTGATTTAATAGAATTTTAAAAGAGTATTGATGAATTTTCTCAATAAATACAAGCAGCCAATCTTAACTAAAACTAAATATAAACCAGAAGAAACTAACATACTGAATTAGTTAATTTAAATTTAGATTTATAGAAGCTTTTTGATAAAAAGATAAATAATTTTAACGATAATTCTATTTAAAATAATAATAATAATAATTAATTTGAGTAAAAATATGATGTGGAAAATATGGATAATAAACAAGTATATTCATCTTATGAATAAGAAAAGAAAAAATAAGATGAATCATTAAATTAGCTTAATAATGTTATTGTGTAAACAAAACATGTGGCTGTTAAAATTGGGGATGTAGTCACTGATTAAGGTAAGGATTTAGATAAATTAGATTAATTATAAAATAAAAATACTGAATAGATGGTTAAAACAACTAGCAAAATGAAAAATTTGGTAAAAAAAACGAATTCTTGTTACGTTATTATTGCTATTTTAATAGAAATTGCTATTTTAGTTTGTTTACTTATTTATTTATGATTTTTTTTTATTATTATTATTAATATGGATTTTGTTTTTTTTATTATTTATTAAAAATTTAACCAGAAATCATTTTTTTTAAAAATAAATATTTTATTTTTTTTTTTATTTTTGGTTTTTATTTTTTTTTTTAAAAAAAAAAATTAATTAAATTAATATACAAAAATGATAGATTAGGAAAATCAATATTAAAAAAATAAACAAAAATTGCAAAATCATTTAAAAGAATTATATAAAAAAAATGAATTCCATTTTAATAGTCTAAAAAAGCTTTGTAAATGTTTTTCTTGTACATTTGGACGTTATAAATGTTCCAAAAGTCATCATTTATCACCAGATTTTAAAAAAATTGCACTTTCGAATTACTAAAAGAATAATTAATAAATAGAAAATTATTAAAAAGATACTGATTTATATAAAATTAAGCTTTTTCAGTATTAAAAAAAATACGAGAATTCTAATTAAATTTAATGTGTATTTTCTCCTAAAAAAATTAAAACTGAACAAATTTAAAATAAAGAAACTTTCGTTTAAAATAAAATTTAATCTCCTAAAAAAATAATAGTCAGAGGACCTCTTTTAGAATCTAATACTACTTATTAAACCTTTTTTATTAAAAAAAATACTTAAATAGAATCTAAATGGCCTCCATTAGATAATTTGAATATAATCAAATACACAAGCAGTCCTTTAAATAAATCAGAATAAAAAGAAAAACTAGAAAAAACTCATGAAGAATTACTGAGGGCAAAAAATGATGGAAAAAGTCATACAAAAACTGAGATTTCTGAAAAAATAAAATGGAATCAATCTAATATAAAGATAGGAATTTGTTAATAAGTTAATTTTTTTAAAACTACATATAACGAGAATTACTAATATTAAGAAAATATTTAAAATAATAATAAAATTAATGAAAATAATAAAGAAATTATGTAGAAAAAAGCTGAAAATATAATATGTATTCCTAGTTTTAAAAATTAATTTAAAACAACAAATTAGATGTTTTTAAAAGATAAATATAGATATGATCATTGTAAAAAATATGAAAAATATAAAGAAAATTGAATTGAAATGTGTATATATTTTTTTTTAATATTATTTTTTATGTTTATAAAATAAAAAATGCAAGAATAAAAAAAAATTATAATCTTTTATTTAAGAATAAGTATATAATAATTAAATTATATAATAAATATAACAAAATATAATTTTCATATAAAAAATTATAATCATTTAATTTGGAAATTATAAAATAGTGAGTATATATAAATATATATATATATATATATATATATATATATAATATATATATATATTATTATTTGACTTTATATATATATTTATTTTATATTTTTATTAATTCATTTATATTATTTTTTATTTTGTATATTATATTTTTCTTATATTATCAAAAATATTTTATTTAAAATGTGAAAAAATATTTACATCATTTTAAGGAAAATTCATATATAAATAAAAATTAAATAATATAATTTAATTACTATTCAAATTTTAGATTTTCAATATTTTTTTAATTGACTTTAAGAAAGAAAATTTAATAAATTTTATTATTTGATATCTTCTTATTACTAAATTTAATTAATTCTTGATTTAAAGAGATCATTTGTATACACACTTTTAAAGCTATTATATTTTTTCTGACCATAAACATCTTTACTATTATTACTTTAATTTTCATTAACTGAATAATATCCTCCTAGATTATTTCTTTAAGAGTCTAAGTTTCTATTAATTTTACCTTTAATAATATCTAGATCATGCACTCCCATATATGTGTAAAGTTCTTACATTTTATCTGAGTTTGTGGGTAGTTTTTAATTATCAGCATACATTAAAAGTGCTATTTTTTCTAGAGAAATCAAAAAATCTGTAAACTTAAATTCTTGAGAATCATTATTGTTTTCTTAACAGACATTTTCGAAAATCGTTTTGAGTAAAATTTTATCGTTATTTAAAAGTTCAAAATCAATTCCGAAAATTTAAAAATTCTACAAATTCAATAAACTATATGCTTTTTCGCATAAAATGTTCCTCGAAGATGAATAATTATTAAAAATAAATCGCAAATTCGAGTTTCTTTTTTCCCGAATTTCCATTTAGTTTTAAAATAAAAAGGATGGTTGGATTTCTTAAAATATTATTTAAGGTTTCTGGAGGTTTTCGTAGGGTTTTATGAATTGTTCACGGAGGATTTAAAGCATCATTTGTGTCATTTTCTCCTCTTTTTTGGAAAATAAGCCACTTTTTTTCCTTTATTACTAAAACAAAGTTCTCATTTGCTCTTTTATTTACTCTTTTGTCATAATAATCTCACTTTTCTTTGGGAAAAAAGCGTTTTATTAAATAATATCTATTTATTCTTCTTCTTTTTCTTAGTTATTATTATTTAATTAAATATCAAACAATGACTTTTATTTCAATTAATTAATTTAATCAAGTTAAATATTAATCTTTTCCTAAGCTTTTTCCGCTTTTGACTTAAAATCTATACTTTTCTAATCATCAAATAAATTTATTTCTTAGTAAGGAAAAACTTAAAAATTCCTTTCTTATTCATTATTATTATTAGCAGTAATTTACTATAAACTATTTTAAGTATTATTTTTATAATCAAAAACTAAGGTTTTATCTCTTATATAGCCATCATGTAATGAAAAATACCTTTTAATATTTTTCAAAATACGTTTAATTTCATACATTTAATTATCAAATTTTTAGATCCTTTTTTTTACGAAATCTTCGTTACGATTTTCGTTATATTTTTAGACTTAAAAAAAATTAAAGTCCATATTTTCATATAAAAAATTGTTCATATGGAAATCATTTTTATCGAAAAATTTACTTAATTCATCCCCTTGTTCACACAGGCTTTTTAAACTAAAAACTAAATACTTTATTTCTTCTTCTTTAAATAATTTAAATATATCTATTTATACAAAACCCAATATATTCTTCTCTTCTGTCAAAAATTGGCCAGTTTCTATCATTTATACCTATATAGGTTTCGGTATATTACCTAAAAGGCAATTCTAATCATCTTTAAATACCAAATTATATTTAGCTAAAGCTAATATACCGAATAAATCATGTAAAATCTAAACTGCTAATTCCGGATGTAAATAGCTTTTATTGTCTTTGTCGAATATTTCGCTGTTTTGAACATAAAAAATTATATTAAAAGTACCATTAGTGTTCCAGTTTATGTTTGGGTTTTCCATTCCGGAAATAAATATTTTTCTAAATTAATTTGTGGCTTTTAATTCTTAGTTTGCTTTTTGTATTTCTGAAATAAATAATTCAGTGTTTTTTTTATTTTCTTAGAAAATTAATTCTTGTTCTTCTAGAAATTACATAGACAAGGCTAGTCTATATATATGTGTAAAATCAATATTTTCTTCAAGAAAATCAACTAAATTTGGTAGATTTAATTCTATTTTTTTCTCTATTTAATCTTCTAGGTTTTTTTTATATATAAGTATGTTAGTACTATCTTAGCCGCCTAATAATTTACATCCGTTTAATATGAAAGCATCGAAAATGTTGTTTTTTTTACTTTATTTTTAAATAATAATATCATCAGTTATATTTAAAATTGCAAATATGTTTTTTTCTTTGTTATTATTTTTCCAAATTTCTAATTGTTTTTCAAATAAATCTAAATTTGTGATTTTTTGGAAATTAAAAGGAAAAATAGAACTTAGACTGAAAATGTGAAAATCTTTTTTATTTTTTAGAATTTCTGAATTAATTTCCTCTAAGTCAATATTTTAAGATTGTTAATAATTATTTTATAAAAATTTAAAATTTGAGTTTTTTAAGGAATTCCAAGGAATTATATTATAATAGTTTTCATATTCTTATATATAAATAATGTTTTTAATATTCTCGTTTTATTACTAAATTCTAGTTTATTTTAATATATTTACTATTTATCTATATGGATCTATATCATTTTGACAGCAATCTATTATTTGGTATTCTTTTGGATTTAAACCTAAATAATTTAATATATAATTATTAGAATGTTTTATTATATTTTCAATTAAATTAAAACTAAAAGTATTTTATTGATATGTGTTTGCATATGGCTTTATATTATCTATTATTTCTTCTATAGCTTTATATTTGCGTCCATTTGAGTTTATTTCACAATGTAAACTACATAATTCACCGAATGGAGTCTCTATTCGAGTAGAATAACCTATTATGTTTTCGATTATGGGTTCAATGTTATATGTTAATTCTTTTTCTTATTTTTGCGGTTATTATAATTATTATTGGGGTAGTTTTTTTCGTGACATTTTTTATGATAATCAGATGCTATTTTTATTTTTTTATGAAAAATTAATAAGTACTTTTTTTGTTATAATGCTATAATATATTGACAAATAATTTTTTATTTATATTTTTATTTTATTTTAACTAATAGTTTAAAAAAGTGTTTATAATTAAAAAAAAAATAGTAAATAGAATTTCTTAATAATAGAACATAAAATTATTCTTAAAAGTGAATTAAATTAATCATAAAAAAAAAAAAGTATTCATAAAAGTATTATTTTAATTAATAAAGATCTATTTATTTAATTAGATTTTATTTTTTTCATATTATTATTTAATAGAAAATCAAAATATTAAAAATGTATTTTTCTTTAATTTTTTAATAAGAAGTTTAGTTCATTCTTGGTATTTTATTTTTATTTTTGGAAAATTTATAGAGTATAAATAATTAAAGCATTTTAGATAAAATTAAGCTAAAAAAAATTATTTTTATAAATCAAAAATAAGCTCACTCACTATTTTTTATTTTATTAACAAAAAAAAATGTGTTTTTAATAAACTTTAATTATTTAATTATAAAATATCAGATTTTTTATAAAATAAATAATAAAAATAGTTCTTTTGATTATATTGTGTGCGTGTTTTATTTTTTATCATATAAATATTAAGGAGAAAAAAATAAATACATTTATATATATATAAATAACTCATTAAAATTATATTTTACATATCAATAATCTTCATCACTTAATTCTATTTTTAAATCTCTGAAATTTAATTATTTTTGTTGAAATTATTTGAAATCAGGATTATATTCAGAAACAGCTTAGAATAAGTTTTTACATACACTATTAGCTGCACTTTCAATTTATTCATCTCCACTACATTTATCATCATCTGAATACTATATAAAATAAAAAAAATATATATATATATAAGTAATATTTTTTTAAAAAAAATAATAAAAAATTTAAAGTTTATTTTATATTAATTTAATTTTATATTTTATAATATGATTATTTATTCAACAAATATAATAAATTTAATAAAATAATATTTTATAGACAAATTACTTATTAAATATTAGGAAGAGTAATTTTTTATTTAATTTTATAGATTTCTTTATCCTTAAAACAAGGGAACTTTTAAACTTTAAGTATACCTTTTTTAGTGATTTATTAAAAGCAGACTAACTCAATTTAAGGAGGATTTTTTTTTTTATTTTATTTGATTTTATTTTTTACAATTTTCTTATTATTCTTGGTTATAGTAGAAGTTTTTTTTTATTATTTAATTTTATTAAAATCACTATATTATAAGGCAATTTATTAAAATACTTAAAATAAATTATTTTTTCTATTTTATTATTAGAATATATTTTATTAGCTTCCACATGAATCATCTGTAAAATTAGGTTTTTCAAGTTCTTCAGAATCATCGCTCATTAAATTATTACATTCCGAATTTTTTTTTTCTTTATCTTATTCCCAAGTTTCAGTTTGAGGTTTTTTTTATTATTCAATTTCTTATTAGTTTATGTATTAAATTTCGTTATTTTTGATAATATTAGAATAATTTTATAATTAGCAAGAATGTTAATCCGAGAAACTTTAAGCTTCTATTTTAGATTTTTTATTAATAATAATAAAAAAAATATTTTTTACAGAAGTTAAATAAGGTTAAATAGGTTAATAAATCAAAAGAATTTTATTACATTTTTCTTTATATTTTAATTTGTATTTTTTTTTCCTTTATGTATAAAAGAGTTTTTTTTTAGTCTTTTTTTTTTCACCTTTATAAATTAAAAAAAAAAAAAAAGCAAAAATTTTTAAAAATATTAATAAAAAATAAATGAAAATCTAAATTATTTAGATATATAAATATAAATATATATATACAAATATATATATATTTATATATATATAAATATTTTTTTTTTTAATAATTAATAATATTTTTTTATAATTTTGTATATATTAAAATTTTTTTTACCATTTTATTTAATATAATTTTTTGGTTTATATTATTTTTTACATATAAAAAAATAATTCTCATTTTTATTATAAGTTTATTTATATAATTTTAGTTAATTATTAAGTTTTATATTTATTTTATAATACTATATAATTATATTTTAATCATAAATTATATATTTTAATATTTAATATTTATTTATTTAAATAAAACTTTTTCATTTTTAATTTTTAAAGTACATTTTTTTATTTGTTAATTATTATTACAATTATATAATTGATTATATGTAATATATATAAATATTTTTACAAAAATGAATATTATTTAAAATTTAATACATGCCTATATATATTATATTTATTATTTAATATTAAGATTATGATATTTTTTAATTTAATTTTTTTTATTTTTATTTTTAAAGAATATTTTAAAATAAAATGAGTAAAAATTAAATAAAATAATATAAATTAATTTTTTTTTTTAATTGTCATAATTAATTTAATGATATAAATATTTTTTTTAAATATATTAATACATAATTAATTAAATTTTAATTTTAAATTTTTAGTTTTATTTTTTCCTGTTTATTTATTATAAACATATAATTAATATTTAAAAACCCATAATTTAGATTTTTTTTAAATATTAAATATATTTTTTAAATTAAAAGCTATAATGATAGTTACTTTATAAATAATAAATAAATATTTAACTTGATGATAAAATTAATTAAATAATAACTCTTAGGAGTATTGATTTAAGAATTCTGCTTCACTGAAAAAAGATATATTTTTTATATAAATTAATAAAAAAACATAAATTTATTAAAATCTTTAAAATTTTAATATTTTATTTTAAATAATTACATTTTTATCAATTTTTTTTTAATAATTATAGAAATTTATTATAAAAATTCTTTTAATTTATAATTATAATAATTATTAGTTTTATATGAAAATTTAATTTCAATTATATAATTTTTTTTTTAAGATATATTAATTATATATGTAAAATAAAATAAAAAATTAATATTAAATTTTTTTATTAAATATATTTAAAAATTTAATAATAAATGTAACTATCAGTATTATTTTATATATATATATATAAATTATTTAAATTTCTTATTATATATGTCTTTTTTTAAAAAAAATAAATAAATAATAATTTCGAAAAATTTTTAAAAATAAATTAAAAGGAATTATAAAGATATAAATAAAAATAAATTTAAATAAATAAATATAAAATTATATATATTTTACTATATAAAATAAATTTAATCAAATAAAATATTAATTAGAATTTATAAAAAAGTTAATTATATAAATCATAATTTAAAACATTAATAAATAAGAATAATAACATTAGAGAAAAGTTAAAAAATAAATAGATAAGTTCATAATTATTAAAATAAAAATAATAATATATAAAAAAATATTAAATAAATACTTTATAATTAAAATTAAAAATGATAATAATTATATATATATTAACATTTTTTTTTAATTAAAAATAAATAATTTTATTACAAATTTTATTTAAAAATTTTTAACAAATGATTTTAATTATATTCACATATTATTTATATTTAATCATACATTCTTTAACTAAAAAACTTATTCTGTATCTTTTTTATAATTAATAAATTTTTAAAAACAGTTAATATAACAATCTCCTATCGGAACTAATATATTGGATGTGCAACTACTTACACATTATTCAATTCCTTCTTAATAAGCTTTTAAATAATTTTCAGTTTTTTATTCTAAATATAAATACTAATCTTAATAATATTTAGCACATTCTTATGATTTTTACAAATCCTGATTATTTTTGTAACATTCTGATATTGAAAGTATTTTTTTGCGATAAAATTCAAATAATCTTTTTTTAAATATATGTTAAATCATTTATTCGGATTCATTTATGAATTTTTTTTCAATTTCTTTTATTTCTTCTTTTTTTTATTTATTCATTTATTTATTATAAAAAAAATATTTTATATTAAATTAATTTCAATTTATTTATAAATATATTATAAATTTATATATCTGTTTATATATATTTGTTTTTCAGAAAGAAAAAAAAATCAATTAAATCTTCTCTTAAATTAATCATAATTAGTTTTTGCTTTATTGATATTTTATTTAATGTTTAAATAATTTTCACTTTTGTTTTTTATATCTTTATATAGATAAGTCATACATGTAAAGTTTAAAATTAATAAAGCAAAGAACATAGTATTATAAATAAAAAAAGGCATAAAAGGCTAAATATAATTTTTATCTAATTATTTTAATTTTTTATTAACTTTTTTTTATATTTTTATTAATTATTCATTTTATAAATTGTCATTATTTGATAAAAATACACTATTTAATTGCTCAATATCTTTTTTTAGATACTATTTAAATATCAATATAAAATATTAGTTAATACATTAAATAAAATATTCATCAATTTAACTTTAGAAATCTTGCAAATGAAAATCATATATAATATTATTATTTTCTAAAAAAAAAAAATATATGCATTTTTATATCTTTATTTATCGAAAATTAATAAATAAAAATATATTGTTTTTTAATTAAACTTATTACATATAGAAAGTTAATATTTTTAATGGTTAAAAAGCCTTTATATGTAATTATTGAATCGAAATTTGATTGTTCTTATAAACTTTTATTTAAAATATTCACAATTTTTTATTCTTTTTTATTAAAATTAATTATTTCTGGTTTGTCTAATTATTTTAATGTTTTGTCAAAATATTATAATTCTGTTATTTCTAAAAAAAAAACATTTATAATACTTTAAGAATTTAAATAAAATAAAAATATAAATAATTTAAATATATAAATATATAAATATATAAATATATAAATATATATATATATATTTAATTTTTATTTTAATTATTTTTGTTTTGGAATATTTATATGTATTTTATTTTTTTATTTATTTTTTCCAACCAAAAAAAATACTTCTTAAAATATTAAAATTAATGAAAATTAAGAATAAAAATAAAAAGAATTTATTATTTGAATTACTTTTTATCAATTATTTAATTTATATAATTATGATATTGTTTTTCAAAATTAATTTTTTATTGCTAAGACTATATTTTATTTTCGTTTGTTTTTCCTTCTTTTCTATACACATCCTTAGATATTTATATTTTTTATTAATAAAATTATATTTCATTATTTTTCAGGCCTATAAAATATATCATTGTAGTCTTTATATAAAATTTATGAACCACAATTTATTTCATAAGTTATATTAGAAGGTAATAGGAAAGAATTTACATATTAAAAATATAATGAAACAAAAGTTATATAAAAGATTTTAAAAATTATAGACACCATTTTTTTTTGTATATGCTGAAATTAATTAAAAATATATTTGTATTTTTTTTATAAAAAAAAGTATTTTTGGTATTTTTGATTGAAAAAGGATTATATAATAAAAAATATGAAAAATAAATAAAAAAAAAAATTCAATTAATAAATCAAATATTAACATAAAAAATAATAAAAAAAAAATTTTATAAATATTATAAATATATATATATATATATATAATATATATATATATATTAAGAATATATATATATATATGTATATATATTTATAAAAAAATATAATCATATTTTTCTATCTATAATAAATTCTCTAATAAAGTTTCCTATGCTTTTTATTTTAGTCATTTCATCAACAGGAATAAACGATAATAAACATTTAGTTGACCATATCTGAAATATAGAAATATTTAAAATTTATAAATATAATATATATGTACTTCTTTATTTAATTAAGCTAAGAAAGGAGTCCAGCATAGAAAAGAAGCTAGTAATAATAAAATTATAAATAGAATAAGTAATAAAATTCTTTAAACTTTAAATGAATCGAAATATTTGGTCATTTCATCATCAAAAACCTCTTATAAATATCTAAAAGCCGATTTAATATATTTGGTTTAAATAGACACTCAAATAAAAAAAATAATAAAAATAATAAAAATAAAAATAATACTTAGTTCATAGCTTTCAGGAAGTCTCAAAAAATTATAAAAATTATTAGTAATAATACTTACATTTTCATAATTTTTAACTTGATAACCTTAATTTCCAAATTAAGCAAAATCAAAATTTTTATTAGGATTATTTAAAACATAATCATATCTATCTTTAAAATATCTAATTAATTAAAAATATCTTATAATTACAGTAATCATTCCCTAATATTATTTATTTTTATAGAAAAAAAAAATTAATTTTTTTTTTACTTATTTAACAATTCCATTAGCAAAATTATCACATTCTGTCTATGATGCACCTTTTCTATTAACTATTATTTCACATGCATCTTTAAACATTATATTTTCAAAAGAACCTAGATAATCAGCTGAATTAGTATGATATTCTGTATTTCTAGCATGTTCCTTTTTATTTTATTTTTAATTATATAAAAATATATAAAAATATATAAAAATATATAAAAATATATAAAAATATATAAAAATATATAAAAATATATAAAAATATATAAAAATATATAAAAATATATAAAAATATATAAAAATATATAAAAATATATATATATATATATATTTTTACATATATATTTAAAAATAATATTTATTTTTGTTACTTCATGCATTGTAGAATCTATTTTATATAAATAGTTTATCATTTCAGTCATTATTACTTTTGAATTTTAGTTTAAAATAGTAAATTTATCATCAATAAACATTTATCTTTAAGCATTTAAAGTTAAAGAATAATAAGCTTCAGCTATTGTTGTATAATTAAATTCTTTTATTGTTTATTTTAAGACATATATTTGATTTTCTCCCAAAAAATAATTAACAATAAAATATGTTTCTACAAAAATAACTACGAAAGCAATTCTTAATAAAAATCCGATACTTCCTCTATCAGTATTTTTAAATTTTTTCCTTTTTTTACCGAATATAGAACTTCGTGATTCTTAACCTTCTTCTCTATCATCAATAAAGAAATCTACTTCACTATGTATATCATCTATTTTTTTTTTAATATATATATTTTTGTTTTTTATGAATTTTTTATTACCTTCATCATTAGAACCTAATTAAGCTAGGAAATTTTCGCATTTTTAATAGAGATATTTGGCTGTTTTTTCGGGGATATCAAGAAACACTGATAAAATTAATTATTTCGCAAAAATAGTCTTTCCAAGTAAAATAAGTAAAATAAAAGAAAAAAAAATCATAATTACTATTGAAATAATTAAAAAAGTAAGTGAATTATTTCCTATATTATCAATATTAGAGACAATATTATCATTCATAGTATTATAATTATCAAAAAGTTTAAAAATATAATCATTTAATCCATTAAATTATACAAAATATGAATCTGTTTAATCAATTCTAATATCGTTAAAACTAATTTAAGCAATATTATGTGATCTGGATATAATTTATTCAGAAACTGAGTTTACATTAAATTCACTTTGGTTTGTTTATTCTTTGAAATTAACATCAACCAATTTATTTTCAGCAGTAGTTATTTTTTCAATTTAATTATTTAATTACTCTAATTCATTTATTGTAGATCTTAAACTAGTCTATAAATTTACAGCGTCTTTTTCTATTTTAGCATTCTAGTTCATCGTCGTGTCATTTATTTGAGGTATTCGCACTTATAGATTTACTAAGGCATATTCCCTTATATAACATATTATTTCATTAATAGCAGCTATTCTATTTGAAGATAATCTTATTTCTAATATGGTGTTTTATTAATAATTTATTGCTATATTTTTAAGAGCGAAATCTATACTTGCTCTAGATTTATATATACAAATATATACATATACATATATATACATATACATATACATATACATATACATATACATATACATATTTTTTAATATTTTTTTAATTACATTCCTATCATAACAAAAATAATGAACATTGAAAAAATTTTTAATGATCTAATAGCTGTAGATTCTGATTATTTATCGAGTTCTTCGTTTAGTCCTTTTGCGGAGTTAACACCAGCTTACTAATCTGGGTTGTTTTCTTCAACAGGCCCTTATTTTTAGTGTTTATATTTTTATCCTTTTTATTATTATTCTTCTTCTATTTTTTTCTCGTCTTCCTCCTCTTCAGAATCATCGAATTTAAATTTATCTGCATCATGTAATTCATTATTAACTAATCTTAAAGTTCTTATACCTTCTGCGTAGTTTTTCTCAAGGACTATCTCTTTTTCACTTTTATTGTTTTCTAAAATAAACTCATTATTTATTATTTTTGATTTTAGTATAATGACATTGTTTCTGTTTGAATTTAGATTAAAATCAGCAACTTTACTATCATTTATAATATCACTTTACTCATTTATATAATAGGAGGTATTTGCAATTATTTCCGAATATTAACCTGATATAAATTCTCCGTTATAGAGAATATCGGAATCATCTTATATACATAACTTAAATTAAAAACTTTATTAAATTTAAGGCGTTGAAAAAAGATTTTCCTCTCCACTTACAGGTTGCTATTGAGCTTTTTTTATTCCACTTGTATTTCCTATTTTGGACCTCATATTCTTTTAAGGTATTTTATCTTATATTTATTCAATTTTGAATATTCTTCCAATTAATTCATCACCTTTATATTTTAAATTTAGATCTTACATTTGGACATTTACTTTTGAGGTTTTTTCACTTTTACGAAACAGGACAGTGTCCTCGCTAATCTTTGGAAATATATATTCGGTTATACGGCCTTATTTGCTCATATATTCGGTTTTAAATTCATCTAGGTCTTCGAACTTTTTTTTTTTTTGATTTGATTTTTTTTTTTTATTTATTTACAAGTTTATTTATTGATATTTATTCTAAACTTATAGTTTTAATATCTATTCCTAATATATTTATACAAGCTAAAAAAAAATATTAATATATATTTTAATATTAAATATATATATATATATATATATAAATATATATATATATATATATATATATATATTTACATGCTGATATATCTTTTATAATCCCTTTTTCATTTACATGAACTATACCTAAATATTTGATCATTTTTTCTTTCTTAAAAACTCCGAAAAACTCGTTTCCATCTTTTAAAGCATGATATACTGGTTTTATATTAATAATTATTGAAAATATATATTAAGATTTGCTTTTTCCATATAATAATCTATCTTTAGGGGTATAAGTCTTATTTTCGTTTTCTAAATAATGTTTAAGAATATCATCATGATTTTTAGAATATAAATAAGGTTAAAGTATATTTACATTTCTATTAATTAATTCAGCTTTTTAATAACCAAAAAGACTAGCAGCAGTTAAATTACATCCCATAATCTAGCCTAATTTTTCCTATTTAAATCAAAATATAAATATATATTCTTTTTTAAAAAAATAAATAAAAATATTTACTTCTTCTGTAGTCATAAAAATAATACCATCTTCCTATCCATCAATATTAACATCTGAACTATAATTAAAATGAAACTATTTTTTACTATTAAAATTTTATTCCATTTTTGAAGCTTTTTCCAACAACTCAACCCCAGCTTATTTATCATTAAAAATATCAATTAAATATTTCGAATAAATTCTAAAAACTTTTGGTATTTACTCACTTTTTCCTCTACTTATTCTCTTCCAAATATCATCCACTAATAATTTCAAAGGAAATAATTTAGATCCTATATCATATAATTTTGTCAAATCAGGTTTATCATCAGAAAACTAACTCCAAAATTCCATTAATAAAGTAACTGTTTACTCCATAGCAGCTCTAAAATGATTTATTTTTCCTTCTAAAGTTCTCTATTCTCCATAATCGTCACCTTCTTATTTACTCATTTCTGATATTTCTTTTTCAATAGATCGCCTAAATAATAAATATAATAAATAAATAAATATATATATATAAATATATATATATATATATATATATATATATATATAATATTTGAATATAATACTTAATGTAATATAAAGTAAATCTCTCATCTAAAGAGCATTTGAAATTTTCTGCGTCTAAAATTTCATTTAGGGCATGTTATTTGCTTTTTATGACTTTCATTAAAAAAACTGCATAATATATCCTTATTGGAATATTAGTAGGAAATTTCTATATACCAGCTTCATATAATTTAGATATCATTTCTTAACAAAACTAGTATCTTTTATCCGTTTTGGATGTATTAGTGTTTTGTGGACCGTTGTTTTCTTGTTTCTTGTTTTTTTCCAGGCATTATTGGTAAATTTTACTTTTTTTAAAGGACAACTGGAAATTAAACATGTTTTATTATGGAATTCTATATAACCATTAAGTAATTAACCTGATTTAGTCTTTTTCATATCATTTTAAATTAATTTTAATACATAAATCGCATGATCAATTACTTCTTGGGCATCTTGAAATTTATTAACATTTATATTTACGGAAGATTCACTCTATTTTACATTAATATATACGTATTTATTAAATTATTAAAATTTATTAAAAAATACTTTATTTTTATCGGCTGGGTTCATTAATATTATTAAAAATAATAAAGGAAGTCCTATGATCCATGCATATATAATTCCATGAAAAATTCTTTTTTCTGTTAACTTTTATTTATTTTTAAAAAAATAAAGATATTTATATATAAAAAATAAAGGTATTTATATAAAAAATAAATATATATACTTATGCCATTGTAAACATAATAGCTGTCCATATATTAATTGTCGATAAAAAAGACCAAACTTTACCTGTATTTTATTCGTTAAAGGGCGTATTCATATGTAAAAGATAAAATGTTAAAATTGAACCGGCTAAATATACAAAAATTAATACTCCATTATAACCTTAACCAGAAAGAAAATTAAAAAAAACAACTAAAACAGTTTCATAGATAATCAAAGTAAAAATTCCTCGGCTATTTGTCCTAGAATTAACTTTGTTATCATTATGAATTCCATCAAAATATAATAAAGAGAGTAAAAAAGTGAAAAAAACTAACAAAATAAGACATGTAATTCCTGCAGATGCATAAAAAATATGCATTCCCTAAATATAAATTATATACAAAAAATAAATAAAAAAATTATATGGATATATATATATATAAATAAATAAATAAATAAATATATATATATATATATATATATATTTTTATATTTATATTAACGTATATATATATATTAACTTACTATCCAACATTCATTATCTTAATATTATTTAATAACAAAAACATCTTAATCACGTGAATTTTTAACTGAAATGCAATTAATTACTACAAGAAAAGTATCAAGAAAAGGCATATAAAATATAGTAATTAATAAATTAATAATAATTTTTAAAGATGTTACTATTATACCAGTAACAGATTTTTAACGTTTTAATGTGACAAAACAAAAAGAAAACCAAAAGAAAATATCATCACTATACATACGGCGAGAAAAAAAATCACTAAAAACGTATTCCAACCTCCACTGCGATATATTTGGAAAATTCCTATATAACCGAATACTGATGATATATTATTGGCTATTTTTGATTCCCATACTTTGTTTATCTTTTTTTTTAATATTATATTGTTTTTTATTTTCTTATGACTTTTTATTTTATACGTTTGGATGAAATGCGAAAGAATATATTTGACAATATTAAATAAAAATTAATAGACTATTTAATATTTTGGACATTTCGTCTTGCTTTAATATTATATAGAGAAATTCGAAAAATAAACTACGCATATTTCCCGCGAATTTATTCATTGAATTAAATTCTTTTCCTAATAAATTAACAGATTCAGCTTCGTCATTCATATTTTTTGTATTATTTTATTTTTAAAGTAAAATTTATTAATTTACTTTTAAATTTAAAATTATAATTTATTTACATAAATAAGAAAAATTTTGTATTCTTTTTTTTTGTTGTTATTTTTTTTTAAATTGATATGATATTTAATATAAAAAACAAAATTAATATATTATTTATTAAATTAATTAATTTTAATTCAAGTTTAAAATAAATCATAAATTAATTTTTATTTATATAAATAAAAATAAAGAAATATATTAATATATATATATATTAAATTTATACTATATAAATAATAATATTTAAAGCTTAATTTAAGATTTAATTATAAAAATTTTAAATAAAATTTTTAAAGCAGAATATAAAAAAATATTATTAGTTTTTTTTTTAATATTTTCATAAATTTGCAATATTCTTTCTAATCTTTATTTTACTTGAAAATTGAGTTAAATAAATAAAATAAATAAAGTATAATAATAATAAAAAAGCAAAATAATTATATAATCTTAGTAATTTTATACAAACAAACTTTATTCATTATAAAAAAGCAAATTCCTAAATTTCTATTTCTTTTAATAAAAGAATAGATGATCAAAACTAATTTTGATAAAATGCAATAATCAATAAAATTTAGCTAAAATATCTTAATTTAAGGTTAAAAGTTATCATAAATGCAGTCAAACATAGCATTGTCCTACAAAACATAATAACTAATAATATTAAGAAAAAATTAAAAATACATACATATTAACAATAATAAAGTATCTTAATAAGAATATTATTAAAAAAAAATACATATATTTATAATTATATAGATATTATGTTTAGTAAATAATAAATACGCAAAATTTTTATAAATCAATTTTTTATATATATATTATATATTAGTCAAAAATTATTTGGTATACTAATGTAAAATAGAATTGTATTTTAAGTTTAAATAAATATATTTTAATTTTTGAAATTACATAAATTATTAATTTTAGTTTTTATATATAAAATTATATTATTTAGAAAATATTTAAATCCTTTGTAAGATTATAAAGATAATTTAAGAAAAATAAATTAAATATAAAAATTTATTCTAGAAAATAATTAATATAATATATACTTAATATATTTAAGTATGAGGTTTTTATATATCTTGATATTTTTTAAAAAAGTAAATTAAAATTCATTTTTTTTTTGAATTTTTTATTAATAATTATGTTAATAATACAAAAATATATATATATATATATATATATTTATATATTTATATATATATTTTTATACATATATTTTTATATATATTTTATACTTTTCTTTTAAAACTTTTTAAATTTAATTTTTTTTTTATATTAAATAATTAGAAAGTTAAAATAAAAAAGATTAAATATATACATTTAAAAAAAATAAAATAAAAAATATTTATATTATTAATATAAAAGAAGAAAATAATTTAAAAAAAACAAAAAGAAAATGTAAATTTTCGTTAAAACTTTAACAGGAAAAACCATTACTTTAGATGTTGAAGCTTCTGATTCAATTGAAAATGTAAAGGCAAAAATTTAAGACAAGGAAGGAATTCCACCAGATTAATAAAGACTTATTTTCGCTGGTAAATAATTAGAAGACGGCAGAACTCTTTCTGATTACAATATTTAAAAGGAATCCACTCTCCATTTGGTTTTGAGATTAAGAGGAGGTGCTATGGAACCCACAATTGCTGCTCTTGCTAAGAAATACAATTGTGAAAAGAAAGTTTGTAGAGATTGTTATGCTAGATTACCCCCTAAAGCAACCAATTGTAGAAAAAGAAAATGCGGACATTCTAATTAATTAAGAATGAAGAAGAAACCAAAGGAGTGATTTTTAAGTTTATTTTTTAATAAAAAAAAAAATATGAAGATTTAATATATTTACTCCAAAAGGATTTTTTAATTTTTTATTTTTTTAAAAAAAAAATAATAATAATGCGGAATGCACTATAATTGCTTTTTGTAAATATATTAAATAATATTTTTTTTTTTTTTAAGTATTTTATTTATTTTTTATACAGTTTTTTTTATATTTAAATTTTACCTTATATTATATTTAACTAATATATATATATATTATGTTTTTGTTATTTCTTTTTAATAAATTATATATTTAAATAATTTATTTTTATTTAATTTATAAATTATCTTAATTTTATATTATATGAGATTCATAATATTTTCTTTAATTTAATTAATAATAAATTATTAAACTTTTATTTTTTTAAATACACAATTTTTTTTTTTAAAAAAAGTATCTCTTATATTCTAATAGCTTAAAAAAGTATATTAAATTATCCAAAAATATATTTTATCTGTATAATTGTTAATATTTTTAAAATTACTATTGATTATTTAATTTTTAAACTAATTAAATGTAAACTTTTAATTTTTTTGTTAAATTAATCCACTTAAAACATTCAATGTATTTTTATTATTCGAAATCCCAATATTATCATAATTTAAACCAAAATCTATCTAATCATAAATTCTTTTATTAATCTTTTACTTATTTATTTTATTTTTAAACTTAATTAAAAAAAAAGGTAAATATTCGCATTATTTTTTTCCAATTAAGTTTTTAACAAAAAATTATAGAAAATATAAAATAGAATTTTTTTGAAAAAAATAGTATATTGTTTTGATTAAATCGTTAGAATTTTTAAAATCTAATTTGTGTCGAAGTTTTATTTTGTAAGACATATTATATTTAATTAATTGCTTTAATAATTTTTTTAAATCCTTTAAACTTTTTATTTTGATTTTTAATATATGTTAACAATAACCATAAATTAAAAAGACTCAGACTCATAAACTAAAAATAAAATGATTCTAATGATAAACATATTAAATTAATTTTATTTTAATTAATAATGAATTAAATAATAAGTAAAAAAAAAAATCAATAATTTTATTTATAAAATAATTAGATTTTTATGTTAATAAATAACAATAAAAAATTATTTATTCATATAAAACTAATAATTATAATTTTAAAAATAAATTTGAAACAAAAAATATAATAAATTTACGAATAGTCATAATATATAAAGAGAAAAATAAAGTGATAAATATATAAATAATCAAATAAGTGAAAAAAAAAAGTAATTATAAAAAATATTTTATAATAAAATAAAAAAACAAGTAAAAAAATTATAAAAGAATTAATTGATTTTAAATTAAACAGAAAAAATTCAAAAAAATTCAAAAAAATGCATATAAAATAAAATAATAATAATAAAAAATAATTAATAAAATACATTTAAAAAAAATGAACCTAAACCTATAAAAAAAGCAATCAATAAAAATATTATTTTTAGGCGAAAGTGGAGTAGGCAAAACATCAATAATATAAAGTATAATAGACAAAAAAAATTTCCTAAAATATACAACAAATACAAGTAAAAAAAAATACTAATTTAATTTTAAATAAAATAAAAGTTAATTTAGATTTAAAGCCTTTTATAAAAGAAATAAATGGTAAATAAGTTGATATTTTATTTGTAGATACACCAGGATAAGAAAAATATAAAACAATAACAAAATAAGAATATAGAAATGCGACTGTTTTAGTTTTGGTTTGTTCTGTAGATGATATTAATAGCCTTTAGTAAATAAAACACCATGCGAGGTCGTTTTTTTGTAATTATAGGAATGATTTTTTGGGAGATTAGTATTTACCTCTATTAATTGTATTGAATAATAAAATAGATATTTTAAAAAAGCATTATTGTGATAAAGATTGTATGGAAGAAATTAATTAAATTTTGGATCATAAATAAATTTATAAAGATAAATATATCAAATTATTTGATGTTTCAGCTAAAAGTGGATAAAATATAGATAATTTCATGAATTTTGTCATGTAAGAGTTGGATAAAGAAGGGATTGTAGATATTATTATTGAAAATAACAAATAATTTACAATTTAAGAAAGTCAAGTTGATTATAATAAAAGTAAATGCTGTTGATATTCTTATTTATTTCAAAAAAATAAATATATAAATGTATTATATATAATTAATTTCATATATATATATATATATATTAAAATCATATTTTTTTAAAAAAAATGTCACCCTATTTTCTAAAATAAATTATTTAAATAATAAATTTATGTTGTTTTTGTTTTTTTTTTTTTATATATATATAATTATTTTTTTTCGCATTTTTTTTGGTAATATAAATATATTCTATTTTTAATTTTTTTTTTTTTTTTATTTTAAATTAAATATGAAAATGTTTTTAATTAAATGAATTTTTTTTAGAAAATATAATTAATTAATTAATTTTTTGTTATTTTTTATAAAAATATTTTAAAAACTGAAATAATATAAAAGTAAATACTTTATTGTATGAAACAAATACAAAAAAATACAAAAAGTAATATAATTTTTTTTAATAAAAAAATAATATTATTTATTAAACAAAAAATAAATACATAAAATAATAAATAAAAGCAATATGTTAGTAAAAGAATCAAAAAATAATTAAAAACTGCCTTAATTTAGTTAATATTATGACTAATTTACAAATACATACAAAATAATATTCCTAGTAGCAATATCCTAAGGTGTACTCTCTTTATCAGAGTTAGGCATAAGTTTTCTTTATAAAGACGATTTTAAGCTAAGTCCATCATAAGTTTCCATTCTGTAAAGCTTAATTGGACTTCCATGGATATTAAAACCCTTATGGGGTGTAATAAGTGACACATTTACAATATTTGGAGATAGAAGAAAAAGTTATATTGTTATATTTTCATTATTAAGTTTTTTTTTATGGATAACTTTAGCTTTTTTTGTCAAAAACATTTATGAGGGAATATTTGTACTTTTTTTAATTTAATTTTCAAATGCCTTTAATAATGTAGTTGCTGAAGCTTTATTAGTAGAAATTTCTTAAGAAAAAAGCATAAAAAATCAACTTAATGATATATAATAATAAGCTGAAGCTTCAAAAAATGTCTCTTTATTTTTTGGAATAAAAAGTTTTGGTGTAAAATAACACATATATATATATATTCTATATATATATAATATATATATATATATATATATATATATCTTTTTTTTTATTAAGGTTCTTATTTCTTCTTTTTTAGGAGGTTATTTATTATAGTTCTATGATAAACATTATATTTTTGCAATTACGGGTTTATTTCCTTTATTTTTATGTATAGGAACATTTTCTACATTTTTTACAAAAGATAAAGAATAAGTTAATGAAAATAATAAATAAAAATTTAAATCAAAAGATTAAATAATTACATTTATAAGTTTTATAAAAAAGCCTTTTATATATAAACCTATAATTTTTATTTTTTTATTTATGATGACACCAACTTCTAATACTACAATTTTTTTTTTTTATACAAATAAATTACATTTTTAGCCTTCTTTTATGGGATAACTAAAATTTGTGCATGCTTTTGCGAATATATTGGCACTTTGGGGCTATAATAAATACCTTAAGAGTATTTAATTTAAAAAATAGTTTATTTTTTCGACTTTTTTATGCGTTTTTTTAGGCTTGTCTTAACTTTTATTAGTTACTAGATATAATTTAAAAATAGGAATTCCAGATAAAATATTCTGTCTTGGGGATTCTATTATTATTTAAATTATTGGCGAGATAAATATTTTACCAATTTTAATTTTAGCATGTAGATTGTGTCCGAAAAATATAGAAGGAACTATGTATGCAATGCTTATGAGTACGATTAATTTCGGGAGTCTAATTGCAGGATAATTAGGTGGATTATTTACATATTATTTGAGAATTACTGAAACTAATTTTGATAATTTATGGATTTTGGTAGTTATTGCAAATGTTACTACGGCTATGCCTTTGCTTTTTATTAATATGATTGACACTGATAATTTATAAGAAATTTAATAATAAGAATAAGAAGAAAATAATGGATTTTTAGAAGAGAATTCTGATAATTTAGAGGAAAATTGTGAATTTTAAAAGGGGAATAATTTTTAATAAGAAGTACAAAATAAAGAAATTTATAATGAAGAATAAATATTAAAAGAAAAATTAAATTAAAAAGATGATAAAAATTATAGTTATTGTTGAAAAATTTAATCATATATATATATATATATATATATATATATATATATATATTTATATATATATATATTTGTTATTTATTCTTATAAAATATAAAAAAACATAATTAATATTTTTAAGTATAAAAATATATTAAAATAAGAAAAAAATAAAAAATGAATTTTTGTAAAAAATATTTTTTTTCAATCAAAAAAAAAATTATTCTCGAAAAACTTCAAAATTACAATAGCATAAATACACTAATTTTAAGTACTAGAACTACCTAAGATTGTTTCAAATTATTTTAAGAAAACAAAGACATTATAAGTGGAAATAATTGTATTCTTTTATTAAAAATAATATTAAGAAATTATAAAAAAAGCGAATTTATATTAGAAAAAAATGAAATTTATTAATAAATAATCACAAAGGCATCTTAAAATTTAAAAGATTTTAATAAATTATGTATATTTTATATATATAAAATGATATAATGTTTTTACTAAAATATAAAGAAATAATTGATTTAATATAATGGATGTGTTAATCAAAGAATTTTAAGGAAAAAATAAATGAATTTGAAGAAAAAATATAATAAATAGAAGATAAAATAAATTTTTATATAAATGATTTTTCATTTGAAGAGTTAATAAATTTACATTAAAATACATAAGAATTAAAAATAAATTTAATACAAAATATAATTTTGGAAAAAATAATTGAAAAACTATAAAAAAACGATAAAAATGATAAAATTTTAAAAAAAGATTTAATAAAATTTCTAAAAACTTTAAATTTTAAAAAATAGATTTTTTTTAAAAAAAAGAATATGAAATTATACATTTAATTTGCATTTTTTTAGAAAAAAAAACTTAGAAATATATGAAAAAACTATTCTTTTTCAAATTTTATCTTCTTTTGATTTAAAAAACAATTCCCCAAATTTTTCCTAGCCTGCTTTAATTATTTAATATGGTATTTTTTTTGAATAAAATATAGATAATTTAGACCAAAAAAGCATTTTAGAAATTTTAAATGCTGTAAAATATATACAAGAAGAGTTTTTTGTGGAAAGTTTAATCGAAAAAATTATATAGAAATATCTTAAAGAAGAAAAATTGGGTAAATATGGACTGTTTTATGTATCATTTTGTACAAAAATAATGTCTTTGTGGAAAATAAATACTATTAATAGGGAGAAAATCAGTATTTTTTTGAAAAAAATATTCCTTTAAAATGAGGTTATTTTTAAGGAAGTTTTTTTAGTTAATAAGATTGATGTTTTTGGTTAGATTTTATAAAGAAAGAGTACTTTTTTTACAGTTTTGGATGTCTTTTTAGAGTTTTTTTAGAAAAATGATATTGAAAAATATATAAATAATGAAAATTTTATTATTTTTTTAGAAAAGGCGAGTTCTTTTACAGAAAAATATAATTTTCTAAAAATTAAATTTTATAAAATTATTTAAAAATTGGAAAAGTTTCCTTTAGTGTAATTCGAAAATGAATTTTTGGTAAGATTGACTATTCTTATTTTTGATAAAGACGGAAATATTTTTTTTAATGTTTTAAATAAAGAAATTTCAAAAAGAAATATTCTAATTGAATAAATGCTTCTTTTTTAAAAAAAATCAAGTATATTTAACTCTTTTAGAGAATAGTTAGTTATTTTAAAATGTATAAGAAATTATTTTATATGAAGATAATGAAGAAAAATAAATACAAACATTAGTTTAGGCTAGTTATTTGGATAAAAAAGTACATATATTAGATAAAAAAGCTAATTTTAAGGATTAAAATGATAACATTATTTAAGAAAAAATACTTTTAGAAGAAAAAGTATATTTTTTATGTAGAAAAAAAAGTTATTTAGGGATAAAATATGTTGAAAATTTCATTTAAATGTTTCCAGATGAAAAATATATTTTAAATTTTTAAAGTTTTTAAATCTTTTTGAGTGTTTTGGAAATTTTAAATGAAAAAGAAATAAAAAACTTAAATAAAGTTTTTAAATAAATTTGCTTTAGTAAATTTTTCGTTTAAAAAATTTTAAATTTAAAAGAAGAAATTTTTCTAAAAAGATTTTTTTAAATTTTTGATAAATATTAAGAAATTTCACTTTTTACAGTTTATTCATTTATTTTAAAATTAGAAAAAATGACTTTTTTTTCATAAAATTCGAAAGACTACATATATGATTTTTTGATAAAAATATACTAAAAAAAAGAACAAAAAACAACAAATATACGAATAAAAATGTATATTATATAAAAATTATTCGAAAAAGGCTTTTTAGAAGAAAAAATTGGTTAAAATATGTTTTTGGAATTAAAAAATAAAGATAATGTAAATTCTTTAATTTTGAAAGGAAATTTAAGTTGTTTTTTATTTTTAGAAAGTAAAGGTGTGTTTTTTGATAAAAATAAAGATTTTATAGAAGATTTATTTTTAAAAATTATTTAAGAAATTTAAAATTATGAATAGAATTAAAATTTATTTTTTAAACTTATTTCTAGTGCATTTAAAATGTAGTTTACTCTTAAATTTTAAACGGAAAAAGATTTACTTTTAAAACTTTTAAAAGAAAAAGTCTTTTTTACTTAAAAATTAGACTTGTTTATAATTTTTGAAGTACTTTAGAGTACTATCTATTTAAAATAAAACATTTTTGGTGAAAAATATATACATAAAGATTTTATTTAAGAAGTTTTTTAAGTTGTTTCCGAGGTTTTTTTTTCTATTTAAAAAAATAATTCTAAAAATATACTTTTTATGCTTTCATTTTGTAAATAATTTTCTTTAGATTTTTACGATTGGATATTCTTTAAATAAATATTAGCTTGCTTAGATTTTTCTTTTTAAAATTTCAATAAAAATTAATTTTAAGAAATCAATGAGTGCTTTGATAGAATTTTTTTTAAAGAAAATGGAGGTTTTTTACATTTTATAAATGTAAATAATAATAATATAAATATACTTTTAGAAGAAAAAAAAGAACTTTTTAACATTAAAGAAGAACAGTTTTATTTTGATAAAATAATATTTAAATAAATTATTATATTTTTATAAAAAATTAATAATATGTAGTAAAAAATGGAAAAAAAATGAATATAAAAATATTACATTATTTTATTAAACTATATATATTTATATATATGTGTTTATTAATTACATAAAATATATTTGTTCATTTTTTTTACAAAGCAATATAAAATATAAATAAATATAAATATATATATATTTATATATTTATATATATATATATATTTAATATTTTTTTTAATTATATTAGAAAAAGAATATGATACTAGATAATTATTTAATCATAATATATTTCTTTATTTTTTTTATAAATTATTTTAACTTTTTATTATGATATTATTTATTTTCCAAATATTTTTTAAAAATGATTATTTATTATTTAACAAATTTTTTTTCTTTTAATAATTAAATTATTTAAATATAAAATTTAGATAGTTCATACATAACATCAAAGGAATATATTATTTAATGCGGTTATGAAATAAACTTTAAGATATTATGTTTCTATAAAATTTTTATAAGTAGGACAACAATTTAAAATAATCAATTAAATCCTACCTAATATTAATATAAATACTCTTTAAATACTTTAAGATATGTTTGACATTCCTTATAATTTATTTCTTTAAGTTCAGGATATAAAAGTCTATTTCATAGCATAATTTATAAATGAAAGATAAAATTATAATTTATTATTTTATTAAGATTTTTCAAATTTAATGAGAATCTATTTATGAAAACTTTCTTTATATTTTTTGTAAATTAAGAACTAATTTCAAAGATAATTATATAAAAATTTATATAAAAAAGTTTATATTTATAGAAAAAAAAAGAATATATATTTTATTTTATATAAATTTAATAATATATATATATATATACATATATATATATATATATTAATTTTTTTAAAAGAAATGATATCTAAAAAAAATATATTCGATAAAGAAATAAGATTATAAAAACGCTAAGAAATTAATTTATCAACTTTTGGATATTTGTTTTCTTAAATAATATAATATCACTCCCAAAAAAAGCGTAATGTAGAAGATGAATTAATAAAAATGGGTGAATCAATAGGAGTTCGAATGATCGAATTAATTTATTGTCGTGAAAAACGTTTAAAAAAAGAATCTAAGCATATAGAAATTTTACAGTTTATTTCCTCTGCAGTATGGAAGTCCCTTTTTGGAAAAAACGCGGATGGAATTACTACAGCTGAAGGTGAATAATATGGATATTTTATTAAAGATTATAATCCTTTGATTTTAAAATATATTTCAGAAGATGAAAGGATAGGAGGAGCTGCACTTATTGTAGGAATTATCAAAGGAATTTTAAATCATACAGGGTTTGATGCTTAGGTTTATTACTCAACAGTTGAAGGGTAAGATGATAAAGAAAAATATATTTCTATGTATCCGGCTACTCATTTTTTTATTAAATTTGAGCCGTGGGTTGTTGAAAGGGAAAAATGAATATATTTTTATATAAATAATTTTTTTAAATAATATATATTATAATTATTTTTTAACTTTAACTTTAAAAAAAAAAAGAATATAAATTTTTTATATTATTATTATTTATATATAAAAAATAAAATCATAAAATTATTTTAACTTAAATAATTATAATTATATTTTTTATTTTAAGTAAAATTATTTTTTTTTAAAAAAAAATATATATATTTAAAAATATGTTATTATTTGTTATTAAATTTTCTTATAAACTTATTTTATAATATTTAAATTTTAGATGAAACACAAAATATTAGTTAATTTAAAATTGTTATATTTAAATAATATATATATATATATTTTACTTATATATATAAATGTAACATACACATACTTCTAAAACAACTACTGTAGAAATAGAAAATTAATTAAATTAAAATGGAATAGAATAAATTCCTTTAAGATATGGCGATTTAATATCAATAAATACTTCGAGATTTCCTTTATAATTTATAATTTCAGATGGTTTTATAAAAACAAAAGTATACGTAAAAAACTTAGATTATGATGGAAACAGATAATTATTTGACCGATGTATATTTAGGGTTTACCCTGCATTTAATCAGCCTTACCAAAATCTGCTTTTGAAGAATTTTTAATTATTTAATAATTAAATATCGGAAAATTATAAAAATTAAGAAAAATAGAGTGCCTTTTTAAACGAATTATAAAATTATATATTGCAAGAATATAAGACTAATTTGGAAATATTCTAAAAAATAAAAGGATAAGAAGTGACTTTTAATTAAGATATTTAATTTCTTCATTTGGCCTCAAATAAGTTTTTAGTATGTAATTATGAGGAAGCTGATATTGAAGAGTAAAATTTTAAATTAGAACTATAGTAATTTTCCTCAAAATTTTCAAGGTTTTAAATTAAAAATTCATTTTCATATTAAATTAGAAATAGTGGGTAATTATATAGATAAATAATGATAAATATATATAAATATATATATATATATATATATATATATATTAATTCTGATATAAATTTATATATAAATATTTATTTATTTAGTATTGTTTATTATAATGATGTCGTATATATTGTTTGTTCTAATAAATATTTAGGAAGAATTCCTTATGTCAATTGTATTAAATCGGTAAAAAAGCAAGAAATAAAAAATTAAACATAAATTACTTAATCTTAATAATAAGATGTTGTTTAATATTCATTATAAATTAACTAAGAGCATTAATAATAATAAATTTCTTAAAGTATAGATTTTTTAAAAAAGCCCTTGAATATTAATAAAGAAAATATAGAAATACGAATAAAATAAAATAACTTGAAAAATATAAATAGTAAGTGGTATATTAATTAAAAAAATAGTGAAAATTAAGAAGTTAGTGTTTCAGTTGAACAAAAAACAAAATGGAAAATTTTTTATTTTTCAAGTTTTATTGAATATGATTATATTTTATAATATGGGGATATTATTTGGATTCATCATATAGAAAACGCAAGTACTATTGAAGTAAAAAAGTAATAAAATAATGGATAAATATATATTGTTATTCAAGGTCATGTTTAAAAAGAACTATTCTATAAATATGAAGGGAATACTAATGCAATGTGGGTTATTTAAAATGAAGAATTTACAAAAGGAGGCCCTATTCATTGGGAAGATAATTTCTATTTAAGAAATATTTCATCAGGAAAATATTTATCACTTTCTTGTTTAGATAAAGGTGGGAGGATTGAAGGGTAATTATAAATTAAAGACTATCCGTGTAAAAGTTCTCTTTTTTAATTTACTTAAATCGGATTTTAATAGACTGAAAATAATTAATAGAAATATATAAATAAAGATTCAATATTTTATATAAAAGCTGTTTAAATTAATGTATTTATTTATTATAAAATTTAAATTTACATTTAATAATTTTTAATAAATAGGGGTGGATACATATAAATGATAAATTAAAGAATTTTTTAGAAAATGAAAGAAAAGATGATGAATTTTAAGTAGAAATCAATAATTTACGCGTAGAAATAATTGAATAATAACCATTAGATGACGATGCGTTTAGGATTTATAAAGCATCAATTACAGAAGTATAAGAAACGAATTTTTTAATTTCTTGTTTTCCTATAATAAAAGAATAAATAGAAATATTGAAAGATTTATAATAAATATAAGAAAAAAATAACAATAATATTGAAATATTAATTAATGAAATATAAGAAAACGATATTTAAAATAAATTAAATATATTAAAAAAATGTTTAGTAGATATAAACAAGTTTTGTTTAAATTAATTGATTAATACTTCAATAGAAAATTAAATGCTTAATTATGGAAAAATTAATTAAAATAGGCAAAAACTACTTGCAGAATAATACTATATAATATTAATTAGTGATTTATTATAATCTATTTTAAATGAAAAAGAACTTTTATAAATATAAAACCTATTTAAATATGAAAAAAAGAATAAATTTATCTAAAAAATAAAAAACTGTTTAAAAAAATAAAAAGACTATATTATAGATATAAAAAAACTGGAAAATACACTCGCCACAAAAGCTAAATACTGCGAATATACAGGAGATAATCTTGAAGGAAATTTTAATATTTTTAACATTCTTTTGTATCAAAAAAATAATTAAAAGAAAGTTTATTAAACATTTTTGCGTGAAAAATATTAAGTCGCATAAGCTTGTTATAAATTAATGACTAATATATGTAAGAATAATAGCGAAAACGAGAAGTATTTCTATAATTATAAGATTAATTAGTTAAAATATTAAGCAAAATATATAAAAGAAGCGATGTATTGTATTATTTCTGTAATTAAAAAGAACGAATTTATACTGAATAATATGGCAGATGATATAAATGTTGCATAAAGGAAAGTTTGTTCAAGGGAATTTTCGTCTCATTTGAATATTTTGAATTAGAGTGAAGAGATTTAGAGCAAAAATAGCCAGCAAAATACTTATATGTAATTAGAAGGAAATAACATATTAGTTTTTTTGATAAATTTAGTTGAAAAAAATTAAAATTAATTACCAAGAAATCCCCTTTTTATTTAGTTTTTTAGGACTATTTGTAAATATAAAGATAATGGAATTTCTGCTAATTAAGAGGTTATTTATAAATTTATCGAAAATAGTCCTTTGTTTAAAAAGGCGCTTTTTTTGCCTATTTATATAAATGAAAAAGATAAATATATGTATTTGTAAATTTAAGATAAAAACAATAATAAATGTTAAATAATCAAAATTGACGAAAAAATGTTTGGAAAAGATGTTAATTTTAAGTATGATTTCACTTCATTGTATTTTATTGAATAGCTTAAACTTTGCTCAGATTTATGTCTTTCAAGAAATTTTTTATGGAACTCTTTTTTCGAAAAATAGTTTCCTTTAGACTATCTTATTGAGTAAGTTTTTAATTAAAATATGCATGATGAGCTCCGAAGTGCATTCTGCTCGCTTATTTTGACCATTTATATTGATCATGAGCCTTTAAATGAGATAATAATGCCACAAATGTGTAGAATATACGATATCTAAGAGGATAAAAAGACCATTGTATAAAATAATATCGAAAAAACTGAATTATTGTTAAAAAAAAGGTAGCCTTTTTATGAATTAATAATAAAAAAAGCGAATGAATATGTTGACTAATAAATATAGAGGATAGATGAGAAATTTGAAAGGATATAAAATTTAGATCTCTAGCTTGTTTCGAATTTTTAAGATGAGAATATATTCAACTAAAGTCTAATTTTACATATAATAAAATTAATGGTTTTTTTGATAAAATTTAACGTTTTAGGATTACTTAATAAAAGGGAAATGTACGCAGTTTTAATTCCAAAAATAATCCGTCTTCTTGAATATAACAATGACAATTTAGAATTGAGTTGCTTTTTAAAATAACAACGCAGTGTATTTTTGGAAAAAAAAAAAAGTTTTATATTTAGAGGAAGTTCTTTTGTATACAAGAGAGTTTCAGAGCTTTTCTAATAAGGCTTTTTTGAAAAAAAAGAGAAAAAAGGAAACTTTTTTATCGAAGAAAATGTAGAAAGTGTAGAATATGAACATAATTATGTATATAAGAACCCTTTAATAGGCAGTTTAATAAGTCTTCTCTAAATAATCAAAATAGGGAAATCTAATGAACAATAAGTGAATTAGTATAGTAAAAAAACTGAAAGTTTATGTAAATTGGAATTAATTAAGATTTTATAATTTGTATAGAATTTATATATGGATTATTTAATTGCTAATTTTATTGCGTGGTTTGGATAGATGTCGAAGTAAATTAAAAAAAACAATTAAATATTTAAGGAATAAATAAAAAATCTTTTAGTTTAAAATATTTAAGAGGATTTAAGTACAGCACTCCCTGATATCATGAAAACTGGATTATAGAGAATAGATGAGAAATATATACCTTGGGAATAATCAAAAGAGAAAAAATTAAGCTTTTTTAGTAAAAATAATAAATCCAATTAGTAGTTTTTATATAAAAAGAAAAAGTTTTAGGATTATACTGAGGATGATAATGTGAAAATTAAAGATTTAAATTGCCTACTTACAGGAGTTTGGGCTGAGAATGGATAAAATTGTTCCTTTATTTTAGGGTCTTTGCTAACTGGATTTTATTTAAGTACAGATTCTTAGTTATAGGATTCTTTTTTGGAGATTATTGTGAGTTTATATTCACAAAATTGCTGTTTGTTTAAGAATTTATAAAAACTTGAAGTACTTTATGACGAGGCGGATATTAAAATTTATTAAGTATATAAAAATCGCATTTTTTCTTTAAGGACTTTAGCTGAAAAGTCAGAAATATGGTTAAGTACACTGCATAAATAATTAAAAAATTCGCAAAAATAAACTGAAATTCAAGAAATTTAAGAAATTTTGAGCCTTTTATATGAAATAAATAGTTTATTTTTCGAAAACTCAAAAATAAATAATTAAAATCAAATAAAACATTCTCCTTTTTATAAAGACTATGCCCGAAATCCCTATTTAAATAAATTAAAAGATTAAATATATTAAAAAATAGACTTAAAAAGGTAAAAAATGTTTACTTTTTTAGAAGGACATTTAACAGTGATAAATTTAATTAAAAATGCGTAAAATTAAATGGTTTAATATTTAAAATAAAACGACGTTCTCTAAAATTAGAAAATTCAAATTTTTTCACTTTTAAAAGGTCTATATTAAACTCTAATTCATTTTTCTATAAACTCAGTTGATAATTAAATACTACTTTCAAAATTTATACCATTTTTTATAGGATGAAATTGCTTATGATTTTGGCTAATTTTAACTCTTAAATGCTATTTATTTTAATAATAAGTTTCTTTGTTAAAATTTTTCTGAATAGACATTCAAAACTATATTGAATGCTGTAAAAGAATATGGTAGATAACCTAGATTTATAGAAATTTTAAAAACTATTTAGATTTTTACTACTTAAAAATCATCTATTCATATAATAGATAATTAAATAAACGTTTTAAAATGGATAATTCCTGCATAATTTACAGATTAGGAGAGTTTAAAGTAGTTTAATGAGTTATTATTTGGAGAAATAGATTATAAGAAGATGAATTTGAGGTTCGATCTAATGATTATGGAGGAAAATATGGAAGACGATGATGAAAGCTCTGCTTGTTTTTCGAAAAATAAGATTTTTAAAGTAGATATGCCTTTCTATTATCATTAAGTACTTTTAGATATTTTAATTTAATCAATAGACGGAGATGAAGGGTTCAATTTAAATGTTTAAAAAATCAAAAATTTATTTCAATTAGACTATTTATTATCTTTTTTATTAGAAAATGATGATTTATTAGATATATAAGAGAACTAAAATATTTAATATATAAAAATTTTCAAAAAAGAATAAGGTTTTACATGTTTAAAACCAAAAATCTTATAATTAATTACAAGATTATACTTAAATAATAAAAGTGTAAAATAAATATATAAAAACTTAATATATATTTAAAATATATATATATATATATATTTATATATATATATAATAGCCAATGTTATAAAATTTAATGAAGTAATTAAATAAAATAATATAATTCATAAAAAAAGAAAAAAATCGTCTTTTTTTAATAATAAATAAAGAAAATTTAAACGAGAAATATTTAGATTATTTTATAAATAATGTTTTAATGTTTTTTAATTCATATTCTATTTTAATTTTAAATACTAGAGATATTTTAGAAGTTCGTGAAAGGGAAGATTTTAGAGCTTTAGCGGAATTAGCATATGCTTTAATAGAAAAAAAATAATTTTTTATGCAAAAATTGAATTATTAGTAAATTTAACTAATTAGTTCTTTTATTTAAGTTATAGATGGAAATATTTTATAATAGAATTTTAATTATTCTAATTAAAATGATTAATTTTAAATTATAAATAATTAAAGTGCCATAGATTTAGAATGTTAAAAAAAGTAAGAAGAAGATGACGAAAATTAGAAAAGTGTAATAAATATTAAAATATTTATTAATTATTTTTTATATTTTAATAGTTTTTATAAGAATTAAATTAAAAATAATAATAATGGGCTTGTTCTTACAATTGGAAAATTTTATTAAAGTTATGTGAATATAGTCCTGTATTAGAATAAATATAAACTCAAGAATTATCAGCTTTAGCAGAAATTTTAATGAATATTGAAGTTTTTTTTGATAAGAAAGTTTCCTTTAATTTATTTATTAAAAAGTTGATTATTTATATTTAATAAGGTATAAAAAATAAAGTTAGTATAAATAATATGATTTATTTTTTGAATGTATTTGTTAAAATGCTTGAGATTTCTGAATAAAATGATACTTTAATTTAAATGTAGGACCTTTTTAATAATTTAGAGGCCACATAAATGTTTTTGAGTTTGATTTCGAATATGAAAGTTCATCATTTTGATGATAATTTGTTGATTTCTTTACTTAAATTTATGTCTAAGTTGTTACAAGGGGGTAATTAGAATGTTTAGAAAACGGTTTTTAATTATTTTATTAATCATAGTATTAGTGAGGTACTTTTTGCAAAAATTTATAATATATTAGGAGAGTTTATTGAAGATTTGAAGGAAAAAAATAAGGAAGAATTTAATTCTTTGAATAATTAATTTATTTTAGGGGGTGGTCCATAGATTTTAAAATAAAATCAGAGCATAGTGCAAATAAACGCTTCCGATTATAATGAAAATACTTAAGTTTATAATGAAAAAAACCATTTTTTATCCTAAAAAAGTATGTAATAGTTTAAAAGTGGAAATAATTTTGAAAATATAAATAATAATAATAATGAAAATAATAATTTAAATTCTGAACTTGTAATTTAATTATTAATCTTAATGCAGTAATTTTGTGAAGGACACTATTTGTAATTATAAGATTACCTTAGGTGTTAAATATATAATAAGAATTCTTACGATATGGTTACTATTGTTGTGGAAGTATTAAAAATTAATTTTAATATTTTTTTTTAAAAAAAAATTATATATTTTTTAAAGCTTTTAGATTAATTTTCATAAAATTTAACAAAAGAAAACTATCATAATATTATTAAATGTTTAGATACACTTATTGAGTTCGTATAAGGGCCTTGTAATCAGAATTAATTGAAAATTATAGATTCTAAGTTTTTGGATATATCTTAAAAAATATTGAGAATAGATAAGAAAAAAAAAAACAATAATAATGATAATAATGGTTAAAAAAAAGAAGAAAATGAAGAATAAAAAAGCTTATAAAATGAAGATATTTCTATAAATTTTAATGATTAAAAATAGTATAATACATAAAAATCAATCGAATTTAATAAACTTATACCTTGGTAACATGAAAAATTGAAATATAAAGTAATGATTTTAGTTATAAGTTTGTTAGAAAGTAATTCTGATAGAATATGTGTCAAAAGAATTATGAGAAGTTTAAGTTTGAGTATTTTAAAGGAAAATCTAGCTATTATTTATAAAAGATATAAAAAATTATATAAGGATTAATATGTTATTGAGAGTTTAAATCATGTAAATGTTTTCCTTATATAATATATATATTAAAATAAAAATTATTAGTTTAATTAAGATCCTAGTGAAGAATAAAGTATTTAAAATAAAAATTATTACAAACTTATTACAGAAACAGGATTTTATATTTATTTTCTTATCAGTCATTATTTAGAACTTACGTAAAATAAATATATATTTTTAATATAAATAAAATATATTTTTTTAATAAAAATAAAGTCTTTAATAAACTACTATAGATTAAGATTTAGATATTCAAACAAAAAATGAATTAAGGAAAATACAATAAAGTTTTATAACTCCAAAAGTATATATTTTTATGAATAAATAAAAAAAAAAAATAGTAATAATAATTTTTCAAAAAATCTTTAATAAAATAAATATGGAATTTTACTTCTGGTTTAATAATAAATATTTATAAATATATATAATTCTTAAATACCTCAATATAAACTAAAAAAATGAAAAAAAAAAACTATAACTATAAAAAAATGGTATAAAAAAACTTTAAAGAAGGTTTATAGTTCTTTCGAAAAAATTCGGCTTCTATAGAAATTGTACGCGAAAACAAAATCGAAAAAGCTCGTTTTATAAAGCTTCCTTTTTGTAATTATTTACCAAAATAAACTAAAATAGACTTCCAAGACAATGTAAATAGAGATTCAATACATACAAAATTAGCTGGTATAATGGAAAACTACAAAAAAATTATTTTAATAAGTAAACATGAAGAATAATTAGCTTTAATTTTTAACCGAAATGCTATAATTGGTACATTTGCAAATTACGTGGAAATATGGAGAGATATAGGGTCTATATTAACTTTAATATTAAATCTATTGATCATAATTAGTTATTAAGAAAATGATAATTCATCATATGATAGATTACATAGCCCTTAGTTGGGTTTAGGAAAAATTGCAGATGTTAAATAAACATTGTATATTTTTTAGATTTTAGGCTTTTGTATGATTTTCTGTTCTTTTTTTGTAGTTTCGTTTAATTTGGTAAAGAAAGCTCCTATTTTCTTTAAAGAAATAACTTTAAAATACCGCATTTTTTTGGGAAAAAAATCATCTTTTTTTTTTTAAATATTTAAGAATATTTCTGTAATTCTATTAAGTTTTTTGAATATTATTTTTCATATAGAAGTCATTTATTTTCTTAGTTATGGTTTTTTTTCAGTTTTGGGCACTTTTTTGCATCCTTTTTACTTTGCTTTTCATCTTTCTGAATTTATTATAAAATACCCTACTTTAAGGAATATATTAAGGAGTGTATATGAGCCTTATATTAAGTTGATTTTGACGTTATTGGCAATATTTTTATTGATGTATTACTTTTCAATTTTCGGTTATATTTTTTTATATTCGAATTTTCATGATAGATGTAATTCTTTATATATGTGTCTTTTTGAAACTTTTGATTAAAATTTTAAGAATAATGGAGGTATAGGAGGCTGGCTAGAATAGAATAGTCCACAGGACCCTTCTTAGTATAATTTTTTGAGGTTTATTTATGATAATTTGGCTAACATAACTCTTTGTATTATCTTTTTGTAGATTTTTTCAGCTATTATTATCGATAAATTTAGTTAATTGAGGACATAGGAAAATGCAAAGTCAATTAATATTCAAGAATTATGTTTTATTTGTGGAATTAATAGAGAAATTTTCGATAGGAAAATCGATTAGGGGTTCCAATAACATAGTAAATAAGATCATTATTTATGGAATTATGTTTTCTATTTAGCTTATTTAGATGATAAGGAAAAAACTGAATATACAGGAGTAGAAAGCTATATTTTTTAGAAAATTTCTATTTTAGATTATTCGTGGTTTCCTATTTAAAGGGCGAGTGTTTTAGCAGATGAAGAAGAAAGCTTTTAAACTGAAAACAAAAAATATGAAGAATTGGATAATAATATTTAAAATTTGGTTAATAAAACTAATGAAATTAATGAGAATTTTAATTTTATTTATTAATAATCTTTGAAAATTTGAATATTTTTTATTATTTATATTATTATTCTTTACTTATTATTTATATTATTATTATTTTTTATCAGTATTTCTTTTTTTTTTTCAAAATTTGTATTTTTTTTGCTTTTTTTATATATTTTTTATAATTTTTAATTTAATATTTTTATTTTAAATTTTTTTTTTTTTTTAAAAAAAAAATGAATATTGAAGATGATGGTCATAAATTTAAAAAATTCTTCGAATAATTGCCTAATAAAAATTAGATAACTTTAAGAGAAGCTATATATGCTTATGTTTAGATGAATGTTATATCATATTTAAAAAAAATAAAAAAATATTTTAATTTTTATATAAGGTTAATAAATTAGAAGAAGTTTATAATAAAAATATGAATATGGTAGAATTTTTTGAAGAAGAGGTTAAAAATAAATACTAATTTGTCGATTGAATTTTACTAGTATTTATTTCTAATAATATATTTATTATTTGTTAGTTTATTTTTGAAAAAATAAAATATAAATGTTGATTTTAATATATTCCAAATCATTTAGGCGCTTTTTTAACTTTATATTTAGCAAATAAAAAAAAACTTTTAATAACTAAAAAATTATTATTAAGTAAAAATTTTAATTTAATCAAAAATAAATATCAAATAATATATAATACATAATATAACAACTTTTTTTATTAAAAATAAAAATAATTAAAAAATAATAAATACAAAATATTTAAAAAAAAAAGATATTAAAAAAATAATAAACATCTCTTTTTCTTTTTTACATATAAACAAAAAAAAATTCATAAAAATAATGATTAAATTTTTAAGAAGATATTATTTCTTTTCCACTTTTCAAAAACAAATACAACGAGAAATCCTTTCAAAAAAGACTCCTTATGGCAATGTAACTGAAAAAATAATAAGCTTAGCCGGTTAAGAATTACACAAAAAACCAAACCATCCATTAGGAATAATGAGATATAAGCTATAAAGTTTTTTTGAAGATAAATAAATCCCTAAAGGATTATTATAAAAAAATTAACATACAAATTATTTAGTAGGAGATTCATTTTCCCCCTTAATTAGCGTTTAAAAGAATTTCGAAGACTTATTGATTCCAAAAGACCATGTTTCAAGAAAAAGATCAGATACATATTACGTTTCGGAAGATTTAATAATGAGACCATAAGCCACAGCCAATGAACGTGATATGTTTGAATAAAAATAAAACGCGTTTATTATTTTTAGTAAATAAAAAAAATTTAAATATAAAATTTATATATATAAATTTAAGCTGATTGTTTCCGAAGAGATGAAATAGATGCTACTCATTATCCCGTATTTCATTAGATGGAGGCTGTCCGTATTTTTCAAGAAGAAGATTTTTCCTCTAATACACCTTAGGATACTAAAATATAATTAGTGATGTAGGATTTATAATAAACATACGAATCTTTAATAAAATTTATTTTTGGGTAGGATATATAATGTCGATGGATTCCTGCATATTTTCCATTTACGGAACCTTCTATGGAATTGGAAATTTTCTATAATAATTAATGGATGGAAATGTTAGGTTGTGGAATTTTAAGGCCTTAGATATTGTAAAATTTTGGAAGGAAAAATTCCGATATTGCATGGGCTTCAGGTTGCGGTTTAGAAAGATTTGCAATGCTATTATTTGATATTCCTGATATTAGGCTCTTTTGGAGTCAAGATTAAAGATTTTTGAATTAATTTTAGGCAGGATAGATACATAAATTTATACCTTTCAGTAAATATCCTTTATGCTATAAAGATGTTTCTTTTTGGGTTAATAAGAGTTAATGTTTTGAAGAAAACGATTTACACGAGATTTGTAGGGAATTAGGGGGAGATCTTATTGAATCAGTGGTTTGTTAAGATACTTTTATTAATAAAAAAATTAATAGGACAAGTAAATGTTATAGAGTTAGCTATAGATCGTTAGAAAGAACTTTAACTAATCAAGAAGTATTTTTTAATATTTTTATTTATTTAATTTGTTTTATTTTTTAGATTGATTCAATATAATTTTAAATTAGGGATTAAATTTAGTCTAAATTAGGTTTTGAGTTAAGATGATCTGCTAATTTATTTTTGTTTATTTGTTTTGTTTTTTAATTATTTTATATAATAAAATAATTTAATGTAAAGAAGCTTTTTTATATATCTTTATAATAAAAATTATTATTTATATAATTTATATAAATAATTTAATAATGTTAAATAATGTTAAATAATGTTAAATAATAAATAATTAAATAATATATAAAAAGTAATGTTAAATCAATTATATTTAAATTAAATGAAGCAAAATAATAAATAATTATATATTTATAAATAATCATACATAACATAAATTAGTAAAATAGTATTAATAAAAGTTAAATAAAAACTAAACACAATTTATATAAATAATAGTAATAAAAATATTAATTTTTAAATATTTTTTTAATTCTTAAAACTCAAATGAATAATAATTATATTTTTCGATAAAAAAATAATTGATAAAGTTTAAATTTAACTTAAATATCTAAACGTCATGCCATTTTTTAAGAAATATTCTTCTATTTTTTTAAAAAAATATAAATAAAAAAAAACAGATAAGAAAGAACTTGTGAAGTATGAAATTTTAATAAAAAATTAAAACTAAAATAAAATAAAAATATTATAATTTTACAATAAGAAATTATTATATTAAAAATTATACTCTGTATTAAATTATATTAATCCATATTTAATAATATAAAATTTATTTAAAGAATTGCAAATAACTAAAATTTTAACATATAGAAATAAATAAGATGGTTTTATTTTTTTTTGAAAAAACTAATTTTCTTAAGATTTTTTTAAGTCACATTATAAAAGTAAAAATTAAATTTTTATTTTTACAATTAAATTATAGTAATATAATATTTTTAGATATAAATATTATTATATTTAATTGAATGTCATAAAAAAAACTTAATATCTAAACTAAAAATGCAAATAAATTTAAAATAAATATATATAGAAGTATAATAATAAAAAAAATACTTAAAATAAAAACAATAATGCAAATAAATAGATAGTCTAAAAATAAATTTTGATAAAATGAATTAACCTTATAATAAAAATTATATACAACCATAAAATATTTGAAACAAAAATAAAATAAATTTTTTATATTTTAAAAGAAAATATAAGTATATAATATTTTATTTATATTCAAAATATATAAAATAAATATAAATTTAAAATATTTTTTTTAAAAATGTCAAAAAACGATAACTCAAATACAAAAAAAAACAAAATTCAAATAATGATTAAATATTAAACGAAACTCAAAAAAACGAAATAAAAAAAGCTTTTGATTTTTTCGATATAACAGGTTCTGGTACAATAGAATCTAAGAATTTGAAAGTAGTTTTAAGGGCATTAGGCTTTGATCCTACAAAAGAAGAAATAGCAAAACTAATAAAAGATTTACGCGAACAATAAAACAATTAACAAAATTAAAGTAATTAAAAAAACTAAGATGATTAAAGAATTGACTTTTAAGAATTCTTACAAATTATGATGGTAAAAATGAACCAAAAAGATTCGATTGAAGATATTGAAAAAGCATATAATTTATTTGTTGATAAATAAAAGAATTATATTACGATGGAAAGTCTTAAAAAAGTTGTTTATGATTTGGAAGAAGATATGACCGATTAATAAATTTTGTAACTTATAAAAGGAGCTAATAAAAATATAGATTATTCAGATAGTGATTAACTTAATAAGAAAGATGATAATAAAAAAGATGAAGATCCATTTGTGAGTAAAGAATAATTTATTAAAATACTTTCAAGGGATTTAAATGAAGAAAAAAAAAGATGATATATTATTTATTTATAAGAAAATTATAATAACTTTATTAATTATAAAAAATAATAATTATTTTTTTTTTTAATAAAATATAACCTTAAAAATAATATTAAAAAAAAAAATTGATGATTGAAATGAAAATAAAAAATAATATATATAAAATGTATTAATAAATTTAAAATTATATATTATATAATATTTTTTTATATAAAAAATTAAAAAATGGGTGGATAATAGATAAAAGAAAAAATATATTAATTAATTGAAAATTCAAATGAAAAAGAATTGGAAGATATACTAAAAGTTAAAACAATAAAATAATATATAAAAAATATGTATAAATTTAAAGCAATATCCAGAATATATAAATGCCCCTATAACAGATGATTGCTAAAATACGGCATTAACTCGCAGTGTATGGAGAAACGATAAAAAGTTAGTTAAACTTCTTCTAGGTATGGGAAGCTAAGTAAATTATGCAGGTCCAAGAGGAATTTCGCCCCTAATGTGGGCAGCAAAAAGAGGTCATATATAAATGGCTCAATATTTATTAGAAAATGGAGCTGAATTATTATAAAAATCTTAAGATAAAAATTGTAATGAAAATATTATATATATATATTTATTTAATAAAAAATAAAATATATTCATATAGAATTTACGGCTTTAGAAATGGCTATTGTAAATGGATAATATGAAATGTGTTTATTTTTGTTAAATTAAGATGAAAGTTAATTGGAAAAACTAAAAAAATGGGAAGTTTATTTAGATGCAGCTTAAGGAAAATATTTATCTTATGTCAATTATGAATAGTTTATAGTTTATTTAAAGTAAAAAGTTCCTTTTGAAAATTGCCCTAATTTTTACAAAAGGCCTGATCGTATACATTTATATAAAATAAAAAATAAAATAAAAAAAAGCTCCTAAATTACATGACCCTGTTATAGATCCGAGAGAAACATGGACTGAATTTTTCGCTAGAAATATAGATTTTAAAGAACCTCCTATGGTAAAATATATATATAAAAAATTATAATAAATATTTTAAAAAGGTTGAAAGAAATGAATTAGGTGAAAATTTATAACCATAGAATAGGTTTTTGGCAAGATTAAGACACTATTTTAACGGTTATGATCCATATCCTAAAAAAATTGAAGATGTCATATTAAAAGATAATGAAAATTATTTAAAATTAGATTAAAAGTAATAATGAAAAAAAAATACAAATACAAATATATATATAACTATAACATTTAAATATAAAAAGAAATTAATTTTATAAAAAAAAATTAATATAAAAGATATATAAATGTTACGAAAAAACTCAAATTTTAATAAAATATAAATAATTACAATTTTAATTTTAAAAATAAAGAAAATTACTTTTTTTAATTTTTATGTAAAATCTCAAACCAATCAATAAAAAAATACTTAAAAAATGACAACAGTCTTATTTTATTTTTAAATAAATTACAGAAATAATAAAAAAAATTATATTCAAGTAATATTTTAATCTAAATATAAAATCAAATTTTATAAATATATACTATTTCTCTTTTATTTCCTTTTTAATTGTTAATAATTTCTTTTGATTCTATTTTTAATGTATTAGAGTAATTTTTTTACACGAATTATTTAAATTCAGGCATTGAACCTCCGACTCCAAAATAATAAAGTTTGTTTGCTAATATAGAAACACCATCTTTTTTCATAAATTTAAGTACCAAATTAATTACTTTTTCGTAATTTTCAACATTATATATTACTTCAGACATTAAGAGCATATCAAATTATTTTTGGTACGAATTTAATTTTATATTTTTTTCAATAAATTGTATTTCGTTTAATTATTGGTCTATTTTTTTGTCCAAATCATTCCATTCTCCTGATAAATAAATCACTCTTTCGTCCAATTTCTGTACTTTATTTAAATCTAAATTCATTCGAACTGCTATACTTAATACTTCGTAATTGAAATCTTAAAAAAGAACATATGCGGCATTTTTTAAAAGGGCATAAATGCCTAATAATCCATGCCCACATCCTAAATCCATTATCGTTTTATTTTGAAAATTTATATTTTGCTTTTATAAATGGAATAATAAATCTAATGTACATTCCCATACTTTAAATCCACCTTCATAAATGTTTTTTATTATATCTTCTTTTTCTGTTATTTGGAAAGGCATTTATTAACATTTTAAAATTTCAAAAATATTCTATATATATTATATTTAGAAATTTTCATCTACTTTTATTTATTTTGTTTATATTTAAGTATCTTACATTTTTTTTTAATTTAATTATTATATTTTATATTTCTTTTTTTAGTCTGTATTTTTAATCATATATTATTTATATTAATAAATTAAAATAAAAGAGTAATAATTAGAAAATAAAATATTTATAATATTTTTATAAATATTTTTTTATTTTTTCAAAATTATATTTAGTTCATAAATTATTAAATTAATCATTTTAATAATAATTATTTATAAAAAACATAACATTTTTATATCTTTAAAGTTTGTTTTTTTACTCTATGCTTTATCTTAGCAATCTATTTTCTTACTTCATATCTTAAAAAGTTATATTTTTAATTTGTTTTTTCTAAATATATTTTTATATTATGTTGAATTCGAAAAAGCTCTTTACCTGAAAAACAAGTGAAATCCGCTTTTCATTTTATTTTTTTAAAAATTTTGTATTCGGTTATAATAAAAAAAAAATATATATATTTAATATCTAAAATATAAAAAAAAATATATTTTTTTGTTTTTTTAATGTATTTAATTAGATATTTATATTTAAAATTAAAAAAATATTATATACTTTAGTCAAAGAAATTAAAAATATATAAAAAAAAATTGATTATATAATAAATAATTATAATTTTTTTATTATTAAAAGGAGAAAAATAATTAAAATATTTATATATAAGTAAAATCATTAAACATTATTAATATAATTAATTTTAAATAAAATATTAATATATATAAATAGAATTAATAAATAGATAAATATATATAAATATATATATATATATATATATATATATATATTTATATATATATAAATTTATTATTATTATATATTTTCTTATTAATATTTCTAAATTAAATTTTTTTTATTTTATTAAAGAAAAAATTAATAATTTAATATAAATGTTTGGTTGGATAAATACTTTCAAAGAAAAAGTACATATTAAATTTTAAATACATAATTTTTAATTCGTCATATAAAAAAGACAAAAGAAATAGTTCAATAATATAAATAAGAGCTTAATAATATGGCTTATTAGTTAGACGAAGATATAAATACTTTAAAAAGTAAATTAAAATAATATTAAAATAATAATTAAATAAAAGATAATATCAAACAAAACAATTAGCCTTAAATTAAAGAATAAAAACTATAAAAAGATATAAATATTGATAAAGATAAAGATAATGTATAAAATTAAGGTTTTTCAATATTATTGAATTTATTAAAAGAATATGAATAAAAAATAGAAATAAATAATGATAATTAAGAATTTTTATAAGAATAATTAGATTTTATTAAAATAATATTGATTCTTATTTTACTAAAGACCTAAATTCCTTAGTTTTAATAGAAAGAGATGATTTTACTAATTTTAATGTATTCGAAGAATAAAGCAATATTTAAAATTAAATAATTAAAATGAAAAGTAGTGGTCTGTTTGAGTATTTTTAAAACTTTTAATAACTAAAAAGAGTTCTTTATTTCTTGATTTATTAATTTAATGAAGAAATAAACTATTTTTAAGAAATAATGCGAAATAAAATGAAAAAGTTATTCAATAATTAAATAATTAAAATGAATAATTAGTTAAAATAGATGAAAAATAAGAATAATAATAAGAATAAAAATAAGAATAAGAATAAAAATAAGAATAAAAATAAGAATAAGAATAAAATTAAGAAAAAAATTAAGAATAAAATTAAGAAAACAATTAAGAATAAGATTAAAAAAAAAGTCAATAAAAAGAAAAAGAAGATGACTGTTGGGAAATAGATGAAAAAATGGTCATTATATGAGATAAAAATAAAATTAAAAAAGCTTATATATATATTCACAAATAATATTTTTTTTTATTAATATTACTTATTTAAAGAATTAATATATAATCTTTTATATATATTTTCAATTTATATACATATAAAAAATAAAATTAATTAATAATAAAAATTCATATTTATTTGTTATTTATTTGTTTCAAAAATATATAAAATATTATAAAAAAAAATATCAATTATCTTTTCTTGTTTCAGAAATTTTAGCTACAATAGGATATTTTTGATAAAATTTTTCATACCATTAATCTAATATATCTTTTTCAGAAAGAGTTAATTCTACATTGTTATATTAGTTATAATCTTTTTCATCAAATGACATTTTTGCCAAATTAACACTGCAATCTTTTCCAGAAAAGCAATTATAATTTCCATCTCCTGTATAAAAGTCAGAACTTGAAACATCAAAAACAATTCCTTTACAAGACAAATAAGTTTTTTCATTTTTTTTACCATTATATTATGCTAATTAAGATAATTTCATTTCTTTTAATGTTGAAACTATTTTTTATTATAAAAAATTAATATTTAAAATTTTACGATCAGGCTAATTAATTGGACCAATTTATTCTTATAATAATTATTCTTATTTTTTGCTAAAAAATACAAGATATATACCTATTAATATAATTAAACCACAACTTATATATATTATTTAATCTAACATCTAAAAAATTATTTATAAAAAAAATTATTAATAATATTTTTATATAATTAATTATACAATATTTATTAAATTATATTTAAATATATTTTTTTTGTTATATTATAAATATAAGAACATATAATATATAAAAAAAAAATTATAAGTTTATTTAAAATAAAGATACATATAAAAAAAAAAAAATGTATATTAAAATCTTATAATATTACGTATAAAATACTAAAAAAAAATCTAAATAAAAATTTTATAATTAAAAATAGTAAAATATAAATAAATATATATATTTATAAATAAAATAATGTATATAAAAATATTAATATATATTAATATATATATTTATATTTATTATTAATTATTTATATATATAAATATATATTTGTTTATATACATATATATACTATATTAAATAATATAAAGATTATTAAATATTTTAATAATAAATTTTATATTTAATTCAATAAACAAAAAATATATTAATAAAAACAAAAATATAAATTTGATTTTATCTTAAAATAATATTTATAAACTTTTTTTTTTTCTTTATTTTTAAAAAGCTTAATTTTTTTTTTTATTTATTTTAATTTTTTTCTTAATATAAATCTTTAAAATCATAATAATTTAAAATATATATATATATATTTTTATTTGTTATATATAAAAATAAAAAATATTATAATTTTTTTTTCAATTTTATCTTTTTTTTTGTAAAACATAAAAATTCTTTAAGAAATTAATTATATTTATATAACTTTTATTTTTTTATTTATTTTTAAAAAAATAAAATAAAAAAAACTGTTTTAAAAAAAAAAAAATATTTATAAATAAAAAAGAAAAAGAAAAATATGTAAAAAGAACTAGAAATCCAAGCAGTAATAGGTTTTACAGGTAAAAAAATAATTAAAAAATCTAATTATAATAAAATAATAAAAAGGCAAAGTAAATTAAGGTTTAATACTTCATCCTGATAATGAACATTTAATATATCCATTGGGATCTACAATAGTAGTACGTCACGTAGTAACTCGATCATAAACATTTTTAAGAGGACATGATAATTTGATATCCGTTATAACTACATCTAAATCAGGAAAATACATAGCTTCAGGTTAAAAAACATTTATGGGTTTCTAAGCTGATATAATAATTTGGGATTTTGAAACTCGTTCAATGATGCATAGATTAAAATTACATAAAGGTATAAATATTTTTATACTATTTTATCAAAAAAAAAATGAATTTAATAAATAGTTCTTATATAAAGTCTTTCATTTTCTTTTAATGAATAATTTTTGGCATCTTAAGGTGGTTAAGATGATAAAAATATGCTTATAGTATGGGATGTGGAATATGGAAAAGCATTATATGGAACTCCTAATAGAGACCCTGTTAATCAAGTGAAGTTTTTTAATAATTCTGACGATAAATTAGTTGCCGTTTTGAATAGTGGGATTCAAATTCTTACTATAGATCGTGCTAATAAAAAAGTATTTTTTTTTCAAAATAAAAATAAAAAAAATAAAGATTAAATCTCTTGATGTAAATTTCGGTACTATGAAAAGACAATTTACATGCACAGTGATAGATCCTACCGATAGTTATTGTTATTGTGGTACTAAAACAGGAGATGTATTAGAAGTAAACATTGAAAGGGCTATTTTCAAAAGATTAGGTCCAATAAAGAAACTTTTTTGTTTAGGAGTTGGTACATTAGGTATACTACCTAATGGTGATATTATAGTAGGCGCAGGAGATGGTACATTGGCTAAATTGTCTATATAATCAATGACTGTATTAGCCTAAAGTGAAGTTTTAGGCGCTGTCTCTTCCATTACATTTACCGGTGATTACACTCATTTTTTCTGTGGAACAGTCCAATCTAATATATATTGGGTAAATACTGAGAAGCTAACCCCGGAATTGAGAAACACATGCCATTACGAATAAGTAAATGACATAGCTTTTCCTTACAACTACTCAGATGTTTTTGCCACATGTTCTCAAACTGACATTAGAATATGGAATGCTAGAAATAGATAAGAATTATTGAGAATATAAGTGCCTAATTTAGAGTGTAATTGTGTTTCATTTATGTAAGATGGGAAATCTATAATTTCAGGCTGGAATGATGGCAAAATAAGAGCTTTTTTACCTTAATCAGGAAAGTTAATGTATGTAATATCAGATGCTCATATACATGGAGTTACTGCTTTATGCCCTACTAGTGATTGTTAGAGAATTATTTCGGGTGGTTCTGAAGGAGAAGTAAGAGTTTGGGTGATTGGGAAACAGACTTAGGTAATGAAGGCATCTATGAAAGAACATAGAGGGAGAGTTTGGTCTATTTAAATTAAAAAAAATAATGAATAGGCAGTTTCGGCTAGTGCAGATGGTTCATGTATTATTTGGGATTTAAAAACTTTTACTAGATTAATGTGTTTGTTTGAATCTACATTGTTTAAATAGGTACTTTACCATCCTGAGGAAAGTTAGTTACTTACTACAGGATCGGATAGGAAGATTTCTTATTGGGAAATTTTCGATGGGTAAGCTATTAGAATGTTGGATGGATCAGATGAAGGAGAGGTTAATGCACTTTCGATTACTAAGTAAATAAATCTATATTTTTTAATTTAATTTTTTTTTTAATTTTATAGAGAAGGCGAGCATTTTGCTTCTGGAGGTGAAGATAAAATTGTTAAATTATGGGGATATGATGAGGGAATTAATTATTATATTGGTATTGGACATTCTGGTGCTATTACAAGGGTAATTTTTTTTTATTTTCTATTTTTTTTATTTATTTTTTTAAATTAAATAGTTATAAATAAGCCCTGATTAAAAAAATCTTGTTTCTGTAGGCGCTGAAGGAGCTATTTTTATTTGGAAAATACCAGAAGAAATTGTAAATGCAAGAGCTGATAATGAATTACCTACTATTTCTAAAGAAAAGCATAATGATAATGTTAATATGAATAATTCAAATACATAAAAATAATATTCTGAGGTTTCTTCTGGGCGTTGAAAAAAAGAAATTAAAAATTCAATATGAAAATGAAAAAAAAAATTATTTCATTAAAAATATATATTTTTTTATAAATATTTTTTTTTATCTTAATTTTTTTTTTAAATGTACTAATTATTATTATAATTTTTGAAATCATAATTATTTTATAATTTTACTTTTTTTATTTAAATTTCATCAAAAAATAAAATATTTTAAAAAATGTCAAATAATTCACTTTCAAATATTTCATACAAACAAATTTTAGATGAAAATTTAAATTAAAATTCTCTTTCAATAAGTTAAAGTAAATTAATAATTCTATATTTAAAATAAAAAAATTTAAATAAAAAAAGTGTGTGAAATAGATAACTTTGATGAAGAATATTTAAACTTTTTAAATTATTAACAAATAGCCGAAAAAAAAGCTCAAGAATTGTATGAAAATACACTAATATTTAAATCATTTTAAGGAATATAAAATTATCCCAAAAATAAAAAAAAAGAAAAATCTGAATTAATAAAATATATACAAATATAGATATTTGGCAAAAAATTTCTAAATAATTTAAAATATATTGGAGTAAAAAAAAAACTTTGTAAAAAATCATATATTTTTTTTTAATTAATAAGAAAAAATAAAAACATTTCAATTTACCAAGATCCTAAAGGACAGATTTAAGTAATAAAGTATAAACCTTATTTAAATATTTTAATAAATTTAAATAATATATGAAAATCCAAAAACGCAAAAAATAAATGAATGCTTTACTTTTCGAATTTTACAAAAAAAGATATATATATCATCCTTTAAAAATTATGTAGAAATATACGCATATATAATTATTATTTAGAATTATAAATAAATTATTAATTAATAAATTTCTAAAAAACACCAAATAACACATAAAAATAAAATAATTTAACAGATAAACAAATTCACTAAAAATCTAAATAAATAAAAATAAAGAAAATTCTTAAAAAAACACCAATTTTTAATCACTTTCGTATTTACAGAATTAATTAAATAATAACTTGACTTTTAATTCTTTTAAAAAAAAGCAAGAAATTATAGAAAAATGTAAAAATATATCAAAATAAAATAATGAAAGTATAAGCAATATAATAAATAATAAATCAGCTTTAATCTTTTAAAAGCCAAAAAATATGAAGCAATAAGAAATTTAGTAATAACATATATAAACTGATAATTCTTATATGTAAGATTGCTCTACATAAGATAAATCGATAAGTTTTTCAAATAAAATGCCTCCTTTTCCTTAAAAATATAAAAATTCACCTGAAAATTCTTTTACTATAAGTTAAATATAAAATTCTTTGAACGTAATAAATACAAAATAATTAATAGAAATTATTTAAAATAATAATATTTATCCTAATAGAATGGCTGGAAGAATAATGAAAAATTTATCTTTTTATAAAAGTGAAAAAGAAATTTTGAAAACATAAGTAAATTAAAGCTTTTAAGAAAAAAAATAAAGAAGTATTAGTAATACAGGTTATAATCATTATTAAATTGTATAGTTTTCCCAAAAAATAATTTAAAATGCTTAGTAAATTAAATAATCACTTTATTAAAATAATATAAAATAGTAGTAAAAACCATATGATGAATAAATTAAAAAATAGTAATTAAGTAATGTTGGAAAAAATATTCTTAATGCTCTTGAATAAGAGAAAAAATTAAGGTCTAAAAGACAATCTTAAAGTATTGAAAGATAAAAAAATTAATAAATTAGTTTATTAAAGAAAATCAATAATCTTGAATAATATATCGAAAAAATTAATGTAAATTTAAATTAAGAAAAATAAAGAAGAATTTCCCTATAAAAAGAAAATTAACTTTTAAATAATTCTAAATATTTTTGAAAGAATCAAATAATTAGAAATCTAATTTATGAATAATTCTAAAGATAATTCTAAAAATAAACTTTATATATAAAATAATAAAAAAAATTAATAAATATATTTATGTTTTTTTCATTATTATAATTATTCATTATTTATTAATCCTTATTCTATTTATTAAGTATTAACCAAAGCTCCTATTTAAAAAATATTCTAGACATTTCTATCATTTAAGCTATTATTATAATCATCATTTCTATAATTATCAACAAATTTGTCTTGTCCAAAAGTATTTTTTAAGCTATTATTATTAATATTAACTTTATTTTATCCAAAGCTTTATTCTTATTTAGCTACTCTGTTGTCTATATTTGACATAAATTAAGTTAATGCATCCAATTTATTATAGATTTATTTCATACTTTCAGAAATACCTTCAGTCATTATCTTTATTTTTCAAAAATAATAAATAATAGAATTTTTTTTTACATTTTCTTCTTCAACTTTAGGAACAAAATTATGGTTATATTAAATAATATCATTTTCATTAGTAATATTTTTTTAGGAATTTCCATAATATTGCCCTTAAGAGTATTTTTAAAAAGTTGGTGAATTATTTTATTTTTCTTCAGCAATTTTATATTATTTAATTTCGCTTTGGTTCTCTTCAAAAGCACATCCTTTACTTTTTATACTACCTTAACAATTATTTTAAGATTTTTCATAACTTTTGTTTTTATTTTAAATTTTATTAGTTTTAAAGAGTGTACTTGAATACATTCCCCCAGTACTATATTAAGTCATATTTTTATTATTATTTTCTTATTAAATCGGAGAAATACTGTCCACGCTCTAATCAAAATTAGTTTTCCATACCATACAAAGGTTTTAGCTTCCTCCTGTAGCAAAATAATCGCCTCCCTAATTAAATCTAACAACATGAACTTCCTTATCATTTGTTAAAAGAGTGTAAATTTACCTTCCTTACCTCAAATCCCATACTTTAACTTTAGAATCTCCCCCTGCTGATGCTAAATAATTTCCACTGGGGTGCACTGAAAAGCTATAAATAGCCGCATCGTGTGCGTTATAATGCTAAATCAACTTATTAGACCTAATATCGACTATTTTTATTTTTTAATCAAACGAGCTAGATATCAAACAGGTGCCATCAGGATGAAATCCAACCTATGAAACCGCGTCTAAATGATCATTATATGTATTTATCAAAATTTAAGTATTAAAATCCCATAATTTAACACTTTTATCATCAGAACCGGATCCTATAAGTCTTATATCTGGGGAAATTACACCTGATCTAATCCAGTTTTTATGTCCTGCGAGAGAATACATAAATTTACTGTCCTAAACTCGCCATAATTTTAATGTTTTATCATCAGAACTTGAAATTAAATATTAAGAATCGGTTGAAAAATCAATGCTTCTTATAGAACCGCAATGGGCTTTTATAAATGTACTTTTTGCTTATCTTTTTTTTATAATTATATATATATATATATATTTTTTTAATTTTACACTGTATTATTCCATAAACGAATTTATCTATCTTAGCCACAACTTGCTATTGTTTGACCATCTGGACTGTATCTAACACAATGCACTGGTCCTTTATGTCCAACAAATTTAAAAGGACGTTATTAAGGTTTGAAATTCCATACGAATACGACTGAATCTTTAGAACAGGAAGCTACTTATCTCCTATATATGTATTTTATATTGTTTATATATTATTTAATTTTTTTTTTCTAAAAAAAACATTTATGGATCAAAATCTATTGATGTTAAGTGTTATTCGTGCCCACGAAATGAACGGGACAAAGAAGGATCGTTTGAATTTTAATTATTTTATTAAGTATTTTCTTTATTATTAGTGGCTGTCATTGATTTTATAGTTGCTGTGGTTTTCTTCATCATTTTTTTTAATGGTTTATTTTGTGTTTTGTTTGTATTTTTTTTTCTATTTTGAATTATTATTTTTTATTTTTATTTTTATTTTTTTAAATTGTTTTTTTATTTTTTAAATTTTTTTTATTTTCAAATTATATGAACATAAATATTAAGTTTTATTTTATTAATATTTAATATTTTAAAAAAATTTTAAAGAAAAATTTAATTGAAAATCAATTTTTAATAGAAATACATTTAAAAACTTTTATAAATAAATTAATACATAAACATGTGTGATTTTTGGAAAAACGATATTAACTATTCATTCATATTCATATTAATATAAAAAGTTTTATAATTAATTTTTTGAAATAATCATTATAATTATTATAGTATAACTAAACTTTAAAAATTTAAATTTATTATTTTTAATCATTTATCTTTATATTTATTTACTAATGTAGAAATATTGAAAGAAATAATAATAGATATAATAACAATAACTAATAATTTTTTACTAAAAAAGAATAAAAAATATATAAATTATTAGTAATAGCTCGAAATAAAGAAGGGCAATCAATACCTATTAATTTTAAAAACTGGTAATAAAGGTTGGTGGATTCCTGGAGGCCTAGTCAATTTTCATCGATCATTTACATAAGCTGCCATAATAGAGACTAAGGAAGAAGTGAAATCGACGTAATAATTAAAGTAGTATTTAGAATAGAATAAAATGTAAAAATTCTGGTAGAATATGAGTTATTTTTATGCTAAACCACAGAAGATGAGAAATAAAATCCTAAAATTTCACGAGCGATTTAAAAAAGTTAGTGCGATAGGGTAAAGTTTAGTGAAATTAAAAATTTGGGAAAAATTAGGTAGGAAAAAAAGAAGGATTATTTATCCTTTGAAAATTTTGAATAATCTAGAATAAAATAGTTGATTTTAGAAATAAATGTTATTATATCAAAAAACTAATAAAAATTAAAAATGCAAAAACCCTCTCTTATATAGTAAAAATCAAAAAGAGAATAATATATTGCTGTAAATGAGACATAAAATAGAGGTTAGTGGATTACATGAGGAAAAATAAACCCGCCTGAGGATTTTCAAACTGCAGCTATAAGAGAATTTAATAAAAAACAGGTTTAGATTTTTTACTTAAAGGAATTATAAGAATAAATATAGATATGCAATAATTAATATTTTTTTTGGTCGAAGTTATAGATAAAAATCATAAACCGAAATTATAGTAGGATGAATAAATTTTGAAGGCTAGATGCGTTAATTTGAAAGAATTTAGGTAGTTATAAAATATTAGAGGCACTGAGTCGTTAGAGTTTAGATAATATTTAGAAAAAGAAAGGATAGTATATAATTTGTATATGTTAAATTTTATTTAATAATACTAGCATATTTTTTAGAAATATAATAATAAATTAATAAAAAGAATTAATAATATTATGAATAAAAAATATTTATTTTTTATTTTCATAAAAAATATTAATCTAAAAAATATTTATTTAAATAAATTATTATTAATTAAAAAAAAGTATTTATATATTTAATATTTATTATATAATTACTAACATTATTTTTATAAAAATTAATTTTTTTTTATAAAAATGTTAAATTTAACTTTTTAAATTATAGCAATTTTAAGTAAATTAAAAGGAAAATAATTATTGTATTAAAATAAAAATAATTATACAATAAACATTAATTTAATTATAAAATATTAAAAACATATGCAAAATAAAATATATATTTAATATCAAGATAAAAAAGACTATTTTCATTCCAAATCCATAACAAGATTTTTTCTCATCTAATTATTACTATCAAAATTTTTAAATTCATTTAATTTAAATATATTTTCAATTACAGAAATTTCTGTTGAAGTTGTGTCTAATCCTATATATTAAAAAAATGAATAAATTAATTAAAAATAAATATGTATTACCACAAAAAGCTGCCCAATCATTAACAACTAAGCCAGCTCCAATAACATCCGATCCTCTATTAATAGTTCCAGCACATAAAGGGATTTATAATAAGTTAGAAAGTTCATCTAATTCTTCTACAGTTGCTAAAGGATGAACAAGCCCTCCTTTATTATTTATTACACAATATGTGCCTACTAAAACATTATTTGCTATGGTAATTCTAAAAACTTCTACTCCTAACGTATCTGCAATGATCTCTTCACTTTCTTTATCTAAATCAGGGTGTACAAGAGCTACATAGTCATTAGCAACGATACAGTTTCCTAAAGCACTTAGCTTTTCTTCTATTCTTCTTACTTTTATATCATCTGGTAATGAATTTCTAATATGTCTTAATTCTGTATCATTACATGTATTAGGAACTAATAATCCGTTTTTATTTCCTAAAGTTTTTAATTATTATATTTTTAAAAAATGGTTATTTATATTTATTACCGCATGTAAGTCTGCCTATTATTCTAGAATCTCCTACACTTGTATGTATAACAGGAATATGACTACATAATTCTGATTCGAATACAGAATAAAAGTTTTCAGATGCACCTATTGAAACTAAACAATAAGCTGAAGTTAATTTACTAAAAACGCCAATATCATTTGAATTTTCGAATTAACACCTATTTGCCATTTTTATTATTTTTTTATTTTTATTTTATTTTTTTAAATTTTATCTTTTAATTTATATTTATTTTGATATTAATTATTTATACATATATATATATATATTTAGAAAGCTCTTTATTTTTTTAATAATAGCTTTTTATTAATTTCTGATTTAAGAATTTATTATTTATTATTTATGTTAATTTTTTTTTCATCTTAATTATATTTCTTTCGTTTTTTAATAATATTTTCTTTATACTTTCCACCCTTTTTTATACTATTTAATTATATTAAAATGTTTATTTTTTAATAATAGATTTTTTTTATTTGTTTTAATGTATAAAAATTTAATAAAATACTTTTTTATTATTTATCATTATATGTTACTTGTAATCAAATATTTAATATTATAAAATATAATATTTTATATATCAATAAAATTTCTTTCTAATTTTTCTTCAGTTAAAAAACTTTTATATATATGACAAAATTATACAAGAATATATTTATTTTATTATTATCTCTACTTAAAATAAATATTTAATTAAATATAAAATTAATTTTCATTTAAAATATCTCTTTTATATTTTTATTTTTTATTAAATATTAGTTTAAATAAATTTAAAAATAAATGTTAAATGTTTAGAATAAAACATTTTTATACATTTTAGAAATATAATAAATTTTAATATAAAAATAATATTCTATTTATACAATTAATTAAATAATATATCATATTTTGTAATATTATTTTTTATTAATATATATTTAAAAAATGAAAATAAAATTTATTATGGTGGTCAATCTTACATTATTTTCAATATGACATTTTTTAAAGGCAATTTTTTATTATCTTATTTACATAACAAAAATAAACATAGACCTAAAAATCTAGAAAATTTTATTATAGATTGGCTAATTAAGTTTATTTAAAATACTGTATCTTTATCAAATATTTTTTATATTATTCTGCTTATATTTACATAAAATAAAATATATTAATGTCAAGGATAAAAAATAAATAATATAAATATGTTAAATGTTAAATAATTAAAGATTTAAAATAAACAATATTTTGTTTAAAAAAACAAATATTTGAATAAAATAAAAATAGATATGGAACTAAGTAAATATTTAAAAAAATTAAGAAATTCTTAAATAAATATAAAAATTATTATTAATTAAATATTTTACAATGTTATATATAATATAAATATTTTAAATTATATAAAAAATAAAATATAAATTTATAATGTTATTAAGATATTATGAATCATTTTTTTTGATAATTAAGGTTGAGGTTGATTTATAGGGTTGGGGTTTGGGGTTGGGGTTGGGGTTGGGGTTGGGGTTGGGGTTGGGGTTGGGGTTGGGGTTGGGGTTGGGTTGGGTTGGGTT